ACTTGCTACGCCAGGTTGCGGAACAGGCAAAGGGTTCGTTCCTGTTTGCCTACCTCGCCAGAAGACTTTTCTTCGCAGTCTCAGACTTTGGAGTCTTTAGAGGTATCATCTCTGGCTGCAGATCCGACGTTAAAACCGTCATCGGAGAGCTGATGAAGAAGGTCAACCTCAAGGAGGAGTACGACGAGAGCAAGACATACAACCTCTTCACCTTCATGGTCACCGCCCAACGCCCGCTGACACTCGGTGAGATGACCGACCTTCTCGGAGTATCATTGTCGACTCGCACCGTCTCCCCCGGTGCTGATGTTATGGGCCCTGTCCGCACCACCCAGGGTCTTGTAGTGGTTCGCCACGGCACCCTGCGCTTCAAGCACTCCACCATCAGGAAGTACGTCCAGAGCCTTTGCGGCTCGACTCTCATGTCTCTTCACGACTCCCACCGCCACCTTACCATGGCTCTTCTTCGTTTTGCCAAGACCAAGTTTAGCAGTTATACCTGTGAGCCGTCAATGGAGCTGGTCGCCGAGGAGACCTTCCATGAGTGCTTCCAAGCGCACCACATCGTCAGCTACATGTTGCGCTACTGGGTTGCCCATTTCCGTTCATCATCCCTAAGCGGCCAGAACGGCACCATCACCCTGACTTCCGAGTTCAAGGATGTTTTCCCCGACTCAATCTTTTTTACCATGCTGGAGTGGCACTACTGGCAGACACAGTACGCCATCAAGGAGACCATTGAGATGCATAGCTTGAGTCTCCGCATTCGGTCCACTTGCTTCGGCGAGAAGAACCGATCATACCTTCAAAGTCTCATCATCCTCGGAAACCTTCACCAGAGTCAGTCTGAGCATGCTTTCGCGGCCGAGTTCTTTTACAAGGCATCCCATCTTGGGCAGACCATCCTCTACAAGTTTAGCCCGCTCGTGGTCTCATGCACGAACCTGTTCCTTACTTGCACCGAGACTCTTACTTTCACCAAGAGAACTCAGACGGTCACACACCGTGAGGAGATGATCAAGTTCATGATTGAGATCTCCAAGAGCAAACAGGGAGGCCGTAGTGATGCCGTCATCAAGTGGTATGAGGCTCTTGCCAAACTCTACATCGACATCAAAGAAGAGGAGCTTGCGATGTCCATCTACAGCGAGCTTCACATTATCATTACAGCCCGTTTTGGCAAGGGTTCCAAGAAGGAGGGGTCAATTGCTGAAGCCATCTCGGGCATGACCGTTGTTCTGAATGCTGGCGGCAAGAAGGTTCACAACCATGGACAATGGCACTCGCTCTTGTTCGACACTGCGGACGACTTGTCGTTTACCGATGTCCGTCGCATCAAGATTCTCATCGGCCTTGCTCTTGAGTACGAGTCCAAGGGCCATCTGATTCAAGCCGAGAGGCTGTACATCAGTCTCTGGCGGGGTATCCTCGAGGTCTGCCGCACCACCAAGGTGACCACGGAGCTTCACATTCAGAAAATCAACATTGCCATTGAGTACATCCACTTCCTCAAGCGCGTCAAGCGAACAGAGGAGGCCTGCAACATCATGATCTGCGTTTGGGCCGAGTACGAGAACCAGTCTTTCGAGTCTGAGATCATCATGATCCGCCTCAAAGAGCTTGGTGTTCTTGCGAAGTCTTTCGGCATCCTCAGCGTGTCCATGTCCATTCTCAAGAAGGTTTGGGGCTGGTTCAAGGAAAGAAAGACTGTCGAGAGCGAAGAGGCTCAATCTACTACGACAATCATCACGGAGGTCGTCGAGGAGATCACCGAGACCTACGTCGAGACCAAGACCACGATGACCGTCATTGAGACCGTCACTAGGGAGATTTGGGAGACCAATTACCAGCGCTGCCGGGGTCGTAAGGCCGACAAAAACTTCTTCAAGTCTTGTTTAGCTATGGTCAACCTTTACCTCAAGCTTGAGAACTGGGCTGAAGCCGAGGTAGTGATTCGCCAGTCTCTCGAAATCACTTGGAAGGGCGTCTTGTCAGTCGACTCCAAGTTGACCATCGAGGGGGAGTTCATCTCGGAGCGTATCCTTGTTGCGCAGCGACTTGCTCTGTGCTATCATCGCCAGAGACAGTTCGAGAAGGCGGATGCGATCTACCTCCGCATCTACAACGCCTGTTTAGCGACTCTCAAGGTCGACAACGTGTTGATCTTTGAGGCAGCTGAGGCCCTGGTTCAGTTCTACGAGGACTTCCACCGCCACGAAAAGGTCATTGACATCTACGTCAAGCTCCTGCAACACTACCGCAGACATCTTTCTTCTGGCCACAGCCTACAGGTCAGCATTCTCTACAAGCTTGCTGCCGTCTACCACAAGCTTGGCCGCAGGGAGGCTTACGATTGCTACGGCGAAATTGTCACCATCTTCTCCAAGGACGGGTGCTGCCACGGAAGTGCACTGGATGCAGCCATCATTGTCCTCAACCACTACCACGCTGAAAAGCGCTGGGCCGAGCTGCAGAAGATTTGTGTCACCCTCTGGACCACCTTTGTCCATCATAATCGTGAGATCAAGTTCACTCAGGAGATTGTCGAGCTCATTTACGAGCGGTACCGCTACGTCCTGGAGTTCCACGCCAAGGTCGAGTTCTCGGTCCGCTACAAGCTCTCGATTGAGTATCGCGAGACCGCGACTAAGGTCTTTGGCGCCACTGCTGCCATCGTCATCAAGGCTTTGATTGCTCAGGCACAGCTGTGTGAGAGCTCCGAGGAGCACTACCACGAGTCCATTACCATTTACGAGGAGGTTATTAAGAAGACTACGACCACCAATGTTGTCTCAGAGACCACCGTCAGGACGATCAAGAAGCGTCTGTCGAAGCTTTACGTGACCGTTATCACAACGAACAAGGTGACAACTACCAGCATAATTGACCGTGCGATCGGAGTCAGTCTTGAGATCTACGCACAGCTCAAGATTGAGTTCGGTTGGTGGCATGAGAAGACGCTCTCCAAGCTTCAGGAAGTTGTCTTGTTGTACAAGAAGATTGATTCCAAGGAAGCCCACTCCTCAATTGCCCAGCTCCTGCAGGTCTCCATTATTGAGATCATCACTACCGTCAAGATCTCCATGAATCTTCATGCGGCAGCCAAGACTCTGGCTTCCATCTACTTGTCTGCCGGCATGGTTCACTATGGCCAAGATCTTCTCCGACAACTGCGATACTTGCTTCTCTTCCCTGGATTTGAAGGTGGCGAGAAGGATGTCAATATCAAGATCTCCGGTCAGTCAAGCAAGGTGTACCTGGTATTCTTGATCTCCTTTGAGCAAGCTCTCAACGGAGATGCCAAGATACGATACAGCTTCTCTGAGCTGATGGCAGATGTGCTCCTCGAAATGGTTCTCTACGAGCAGTACATGTCTGTCATGGCCACCTTCGCCGACTCCACGAGAATCGAGACAATCATTGAACCGGCAGCTCGCCTTCGCTTCGTCTGGCAATCCCGTGGTCGCAGTGGGTTCGTGGACGTCCTTGACAAGAAGCTCTTTGCCTTGTTCACATCCCGTTACTTCAAGCCGACAAACTCCCCGGACGACAAGAACGCCAGATTCGCCTTCTACGTCGCGCTCCTCAACGAGATTGGTGGCGGCATTGCGGATAGAGGCACCGTCGACTTTGGTCTCGTGTCCTGCAAGGCCGCACACACTTCTGTCAGAAGACTCATGGTCGAGGAGAAGGACTTTGCCAGAGCTCAGAATGTCGCACAATGTGCCTTTGACTTTGCGCAATCTCAACGATTCTATCACCAGCGCAACTGCCACGTTTGGGGCTTCCGTTTCGCCGAAGTCCTGGCTGGCATTCGCGTAGATACGTGGAAGTCTGCCGGTCAACAACAAAAGGACGGACTGCTTGCCACGAGCCGAAATGTCTTGCAACATGTCTTGGCGGCCTTGAGGGATGACAAGGTCGAGTTTACTAGCCTTCGGTTTGAGGACATCTCTAGTCTCGTTCGTCTACTTGGCGAGCAGAAGAACTGGGCAGAACTCGAGGTAAGTTTCATACAATCTTCAACAATTAGTCGTTCTGTGCTCTGTACTGACAACTCTTCGCAGAACCTTCTTACCTCGCTTTGGCGATCCAGAGAGGTCCAGCGCAACTGCGGCGTATGGTCTCCCGAGATTGTCCTCACAATCGGCTCCCTCTTGGTCAACGCGCACGAGCTTGCGGGTCACCTAGACCAAGCCATCATCCTCTGCGAAACAATCTACTACAACGTTCGCCAGTCTCGTGGTGGCTTGGATTCTTCCGCATTCTACTTCTCGAACCGCCTAGCCTACCTCCTTCGCCACGCCAAGCGTCTTCGCGACGCTGGACGTGTGCATCTGGATGTTGTATGTGACCTCGACGAGCACCTATCCGCAAGCCATGGCGCGGATAAGGATGAGCGTCTTCGTGCCGCGGCCGACATGCATCTCGATGGCATGCGACGATGTGGCTGGGCCACCCGCGGTGACGTGAGAAACACGAGTGAGATCCTCGAGAGACTGAGAGGATACGGTAAACTTAACGTGCCGTCCATTGAGAATTGGTCGGCAGCGGATGAGAAGAAGGAGACGAGCCTTGTGTGGCCCGAGGCGATCAAGTGGGATCTCGGCAAGCCTGAGACTGAGGTCCAGGCGCCGAAGAAGAGAGACCTGTTGTCTCCGGCTAAGGAGAGATGGGGCCGCCTGGGATTTAGGCGGCTCGGGTCCGAGGTTGCGCACTGAAGCTGGAGTTGAGACCTGTTAGTATGGATTCTTCAGTGGGCTTGTGGATATCATGGGGGGGAGTCTACACATTGACCAACACTGGGTCACGTCACGTTTCTTAGAGTCATGTTTCCTTGCGTCTGTTCAACTTGATAATCACATCAATATTGTCTAAAAAGCTAATACCACTATCCGTTTTGATCTGTTTCTAAGCGGATGATGACTGAAATAATACTACATTTTTCCTGGATTACCTTACGGTATTGTGAGTGAAGGAATCACGGCGTAGCCAATGCATCATGCCCCAATGTCCAGATCTTGACCAAATATCCTCGTCTCAATGTAGCGTCCCAGAGTCTTTCCAATGCTTTCGGTGCCCTCGCGTTCGGATTCGTACTGATGAGCGTACGAGCCGTCACTTGTTTCTGCCCCGTAACCCACCCCGTGAACGCCATCCTGCAGGGCCAAACCCGCAGCCAAAAGCGTGCCTTCAAATCCCCAGAGGTTCAACTCCTGGGCCGTGTCGAGTACCGGATTATTGGAGCACATTTCCATATGGTCCCTGTAAGCTTCCGTATAACGATCGATCCAATCGTCATAAGCCTTGTACCATGTCTTGGAGTATCTCTCTTCTAAGTCGTCGTCTTCGACAGGTGCACCGCAGAATTCGGGGTTCGCGGGCCACTTCCAGACGTACCACAGGAAATTTGTACCAAATTCCTTAGAGACGCAGTATTTGAATCCTGGTAAAGGAGGCCCATACTCCGGTAGAGATCCCGGCTGGACGTCTGGCTTTAGAGGACTCTCTTCATGGGTTTGCAGCAATGTTGACTCTCTGTAGCTGTTCGGTCGGATTTTGCTCCTCCGTCGGCGGCGAAGGCTCAGATGTGACTGGGCGTTGTGGCTCAATATGTGCTGTGCGCAGCTCATTGACTGAATCCTGCTCCTCCGTTTGAGACAGGGGTTCGGATATAGCCTTGACGGCTGATAGTTCTGGCTCTACTTGCGTTGTTGTGTTGGCAGGAAGTGGCTTCTTGTCCGCATTCAAGCGAACTTCGAGAGAGTCACCTGAGAGCTCGACAACAACGCCATAGGGTGTGGTAATAGACAACTAGATTTCAAAGTTGGCATGTTCTGCAAGTGCCAGTAAGGCTTTGATAGAGTTGTATGGAGGAGACATTTAAAAGTATTGATGAGTTGATGAAGTTCTTAAGAAAAGAGATGTTGAATACCTTGAGCAACTGACTGACCTGATCGAGAGATACTTCACATATCAGTATTATTGCGAGAATCGGGTGCTGAGGCCGCCCGTGGCTGTGCTAAGAGCGCCGTGCAGCAGTCAGAGCCCAGAGGTGACAGAGGTCTAAGCAGCGTATTGAGATGACCGAGTCATTTGAACTTGATTATTATTCACAACGCTGCCGGACCTGAGCGGATATGGTACCTGTTGGCAATCTATTCTGGGCTCCGATATTCCGAAGTCCTCCCCCTAGAAGCTGTACATGGTCCTGTCGGGAGAGGCTGTCCTTGCTCACGGCGGCGCCGAGAACCCCAGTCGGGAAGAGTTAGATTGTCGTCTTCCATCTCTCATTTCATCGTTTGCCATGAAAATAATCTAAGTGGACAAGTTGGCCTTCCCGAGCTTCATCAAATTTGTAAGCCGACGAGGCTCCGGCCATGAGTCCATAAATACCCCTGAATCCGTTTTGGACTCTTACACGCCCTTGGAGCGAACATCACAAATTCCAAGTTTCCGTACTAGACTCAGTTAAGGCTTGCCAACCTTTGGCATAGTTATCGATACGACTCCAAATCGCGAATATCGGATTTGCTCAGCACACCTCAGGCTCAAGACGAGTGTCATGGCCTCGAATAGCGATGCTGGGATGTCAATCCCCCAGCGCCGGTTGTTAGTTGTTGCACTCAACAGCATCACGATCCTCCCTTTTCTTTGGATCAACTTCCTGATATTCATGCGAAGCAAGTTTACTCTTCTAGACATCAACATTCTGCTTTGCGGAACCATCTGCATCCCTTGGCCTATTGTCAGCTTCTGGAACTCTGCAATTGGCCTTTGTATTATCCTATTCGGCAACGCTGAGAAATCTGTCTACCCCTATTTTCGACCTCGGGGACTTCTGCCGGAGCTCACGTCTACGGCAGCGCTGGCTATCTTCATGCGCAACGAAGACCCAATTCCAGTATTCGACCGGCTTTACGCCATGCAAGAGAGCCTTCAGCAGACTGGTTGCCTGAAGCACTTTCGCTTTGTCTTAATTAGCGACACCGATCACTTGGACGTGGCGCAGATGGAACACGAAGCCTTCGCCCAGCATGCCGCATATCTGAGCAAGGGCATGGCTAAAAGTCCAATATATCGACGCCGCGATAGAAACACCGGTTACAAGGCTGGCAATCTCAAAGACTACCTCGACAACCACTCCAAAGCAGACGACTTCTTCGTCACTCTCGATTCTGATAGCGCCATGAGCGGCGACTTGCTCTGCCGTCTGGTATCTAGCATGGAACGAAACCCCCATATAGGCTTGTTGCAGACCATAGTTATCGGAATGCCCGCAGTCAGCGCCTTTACACGGCTCTACCAATTTGGCCTGCGTCATGGAGTGCGGACCTACAACATGGGATTCAGTTGGTGGGCTCACGACTGCGCCCTGTACTGGGGCCACAACGCTATCATCCGCACCAAGGCCTTCCACGAACATTGCATGCTCCCCAAACTCCCCGGCAAACCGCCGCTCGGTGGCTATATCCTAAGTCACGATCTGCTGGAAGCAATGTCCATGCGTCGAGGCGGCTACGAGGTCCGGGTGCTCCCTATCGAGACGGAAAGCTACGAGACTAATCCGCCTACCTTTCTCGACTTCCTACGTCGCGAGCTCTGCTGGTGCCAGGGGACAATGCAGTACTGGTTCATGCTGAGCGAGCCTGGCATCCACCCCATCAGCCGCTTTCAGGTGTATCAGACCTTGACCACGTATATCGGTCAAGCTTGTTGTGTTTTGATGACACTGGCATGCGTCGCGAAGGAGGTCATGGGAGAACCAAGTGTTGTTCAAATGAGCCTCGTATTTAGCTGGACTCTACACCTTGTTCTCGCTGCCTTCGGCATGTTCCCCAAACTCGCCGGCGTCTTTGAAGTGGTGACAACGTCTTCCAGGCGCTACGGTGGTAGTCTCCGCTGCATCCTATCAACTCTGATGGAGATGTTCCTGATGACGCTCATCGCCCCGATTACGGCTGTGGCCGTTGCGGTGTTCTTGGGCGGCCTGCTCAGAGGCAAGTCTATTACATGGGACGGGCAAAACTGCGATCGGCTCGGTCTCAGCTGGTGCGATAGCTTTCGTGTTTTGTGGCCGCAGACCGTTCTTGGTTTTGAAATCTTGCTCGCTGTTCAAGGCACTGCCACGCTAGCATGGGTTATCCCATCAGCCGTTGGCCTCTTGCTCGCGGTACCCATCGCTGTAATCACGGCGTCGTCCCATTTCGGGAATATGGTCACTTCTATGCGCCTCTTTGAGATTCCTGAAGAGACTCAGCTTCCGCCCTTGTTGCCTGAGTTGATTCCAACAAGGTTAAAGCGAAGAAGTTGAGTTGAGGTACAGGACAGCTGACCCTGGGGAGGCAACTCCTTCGATGCATGATACAAGTGCGATAGAGACTTTCTTCATGAAGTCTCTCCATATCTTATCGCAGGTGAAGGGTTACACCTCGTAGTCAAGAAGAGATGCCGGCCACTCAATGGGTTGAAGCATTTGGCGTTGGTTCAAATTAGTTTCAATCAGATCACCAAGCATTTGTAGTTCAGTAGAAACATTTAGTTCTTCATTCATTTCTTCAATCATACGCTCAAGAAAAATCGCAATTTTGCACTCCTTTTGCACAATAATGGTATCATCCAAATCCAAACCGCCGACCCCTTCATAACCCTTTACTCCTTTTTAAACATGCTTAGACCCATCATCAATGCCCTTGGAAGGGCCAAGGACTCTCTCCTCGTCGTAATCCTGGCTACTACCAGCGTCATACGCGACGCGGATGTCATCAATCTCCTCTCCAACTTCCATCCACTTGTCGCTAGTAGCAGGGATAGGAGAGATCTTGCAGAGACCCCAGTACACGCCACCAGAGACGAGGAACCCGGCGAAGAAGTTGAGGTTGTAGATGTATGTAGCGCCGATAGGGACATCAACCCCAATCGCACCGACGAATCCGACGACGTTGGGCAAGATTCCGGCGATGTAGGCGGCATACCCGCGCCAGTGGAAGCCGTAGGTGAAGTAGTACGGGCCAGTCTTGCGTGCATCGTACAGCTCTTTGATCTCAAGGTACCCCTTTCTGACGACGTAGTAGTCGGAGCACATGACGCCTGCGATGGAGCTGAGGAAGACGCTGTATGCCGAGAGGTACGTAGTAAACTTATTGGAGTCCGTGAGCAGGGTGTACGGGCACATGGCCAGGCCGACGGCAGCGCAGATGTATCCACCGCGACGGATGCTCAGGTACCGGGGCAGTAGAGCGGTCATATCGGTACCTGCGGAAACGGAGTTGGCGGCGATGTTGGTACCGAGTTGAGCCAAAGCAAACGCGAAAGCAATGACGAACACGCCAAATCGCTGAGCGGAACCGCCGTCATCGATGAATCTCTCGAGGAGCTTGAGAGGGTCCCAAATCTCCTCGCCGTAAATGACCGCCGAGGAGGAAGAAACCATGATACCGATGAACGAGGTGAAGGCGAAGCCGATTGGGATCGTGAAAAGCTGGGACCAGAGAGCATCGTTGGGCTTCTTGGAGAAACGAGAAAAATCGGGATCGTTGACGATAAGGGTCGCAAAGTTGGCGATGGACGACATGACGCCCTTGACAAATTCCCAAGCCAATTCGCTGCCATGAAGCTTCGCGGGTTGACGAACGATGGGACCGATACCGCCGGCGCGGACAATGGCCCAGATCATGAAGGCGATTCCAGCGCATGGGACGATGTATGACTTGACGGTGAACAAGTGTCGGATCTTGTGGACGGGGAACCATATGGCGGGTAACGAAAGCACCCAGAATAGAAAGAACGAGACCCAGTCCGCGGTGGTTGTGCCGGATGATGCAGAGAATGTGTTCGGGATCATTTCTCGGTCCTGTTTTGAATTAGATTGAAGGCCTCTTAGGCATCCGGAAGACATTGCCACTTACCCAAGACTTCCAGATGGAACGGATCATGAGGTAGATGCAGTGACCACCAATGTAGGCTTGGACACCGTACCAAACACAAGCTGAGACCGGTTAGTCAAGTTCATTGTTGCGACGAAGTCAGCGGGCTTACCCATGGCGGCACGGTTGAAAACAGGCCACAAACTTCCCCAGATTCCGAAGGACGATCTGTTGACGACGGGGAAACCAATGTGGTACACTGCACCGATGCGACCAGTTGCACATATGAAGCATCCAGCAATAGCGTAGCCGATCCAGACGCAGAGCCATGACTGCCACCAAGAAAGACCACTCACAATCATGGAGGACGAAATCATCCATGTGTTGACGTTGAAGGAGTCAGCGACCCAGAAGGCAACGAAGTTCCAAGGTCCCCATTGCCGTCTCTCAGGCTCGACTCTGTCTAAAGGTCAGTCACCACGCTCCGAGAGGCGTCGTGTGCACCTTGTGCAGCAGTCACTCACGGTTTCAGATCATAGTTCGTCAGCTGTAGGTTGAGAGTGTTAGAATCATTCCAGGTGCGTCGAGAAGTTCTGAGCTGGCAGATCTTACCATCAGCTGAGCGCTGGTCAGCCCAGGCTCTGATTTAACGGCGATCTTGTTCGCCAAGTAACCCAGCCTTGAGCTATGGGCCTTTTCCGGCCGAGCAGTCGTAGTTGCAGTATCCATGTCCATTTTGGCGATTGTCTCTGGCGACAAGGACTTTGGCAGGGCGTGGCGAGGGGTGAAGTTCGGGACTATCGTGATGACTTTCGGATGGTTTCGAATCGGCGAGCCGTCAAGACACCAGTACACGGACCGGTACACGTTGCGATGACGATATGCACGTGAGAACGAGACGGGAAACCGAAAGACTGGGCTGCAGGGTGACACGGGTCGTGATCCGCAGGATGACACCCCAAAGTAGTGGCGATACCAAGGCAGTCGAGCAGTCAAGTCTGGTCGTTGGTTGAGGGGGGGGAAACTCCAGCTGTTCTCTCTCAAACGAAGGAGTGAAACCGAGACGATGGAGGAGATGTCGACTGATATTTATTCACATGCTGGGCCGGTGTCGCTCTGGATATGGAGAGGCTGATAAAAGACCTCGTCAGTTCCACGAAAACGAGTCGGCGGTACCTTGGTGTCAACGATTATCGACTGATGGACCCGGACATCGCTGCGACAAACCCCCACATGGGACAAGCGTGACAAGCTCTTCAAGGTCGTCGCCTCCATCTTTCCATCCCGCTGGCGCTGGGCAATGGAGAAGCAGACGATTGGGGAAAAGGAATGCGGACGGGGGGTGACAAGCCCAAGAACGCAAGACAAGACCACGCTACGAACCGCTTTCAGACAAGGGTGCTGCCGGTCTCGCCGTGATTGCAGCAAATTGAAATGCTCCCAAGTCGACAACGACGTCAAATCTGATCGAGTAACAGGACGAAGCCCTGGCACCGGAAACCGTAAAATCTCTGGTCCTTTGGACGCATTCCGCGGCTATCATTGGTTCGTCCCAGAGGAGAAAATGTTCTTATCAGGGGCGTTGGAGGTGGCACCGCGTTAGTACGGCTACGAGGAACGGCTCCCGCTCGACAGCCACGCACCATGATGCCTGTCCGGCATGGGACGGTGCGGCTATGTATGATAAGTTAGCTCCTCTGACAGGGGTAGCTTATCATAGATGGCGCCCAAACCCCGCATGTTATCCATTACTCGATCTCATCGAGTCAACCACCAAAATGTGCGACTCGCGGCATGATATCGATTGCCTCACGTAGCCTCAAGATACCCGACAACCAACATGATGAACTAGAGGATTTTTCTTCATGTCACTTGGCTCATGTCACTTTAGATTCTCTTTTCCCTGTCTTCGTCACTCGCAACTTGCCGTGGCAGTCTTAGACCAAGGTCACGAGGTCGGCACACTGCAAGACCTGGAGGGAAAAGGAGAAAGCTCTGTCCGTACTTGAACACGAATTTAATGCCAAGGTCAATGACATGCTCGTAAACCAAAATTCCCATATAAGATTCAATTATGGCCGTTTAGCTGCCTCGTAAAAGCCATCGTTGTCTGTTTTTCTGGACTTTGAACAGGTCGCGTGCTAATTAGCATTCCACATCTTCGGTACCTGGGGCTCGGAACCATTTCCAGCCCAAACTTTTGCCCTGCAGCCGGTACATCTTGGCTGGATCGTCTCCTGATAAGATGATGGCTGGAAAGCCTGGAATATCCGCACCAGACCAAGTCCAAGATAAGGACTGGGAGAAGGGAACCCTTGGTCCCACTCGCTTCACATGGCTGGGGGATCTTCCCCCCGTTCGATCGACACACCAACTCGTTTCCACTTATCTCCAGACGTTCCCAAGCTCCCCCAATTTCTTCCAGACGGCAGAAGCGACAGCAGACGCACTCGAGACATCTCCCTATCTAGAGCCAGGGCGAGCCCAAGTAGGGTGCTGCTCAACCCCTAGGTGCCGGCCTTGGTTGCTAAATGTGAAATATTTAGGCGCTGATTCTCGTATGTCGCTAACGAACCATGATAAGATGGTGGCCGGCGGCGCAGAATGCTGAACTTTTCGCACAGAAATTCAGCCGCAGCTACGATCGCAGAATTTGAGTTGTCGCACCGGAATCACACAGAGTCGCTGCTATGATGGTACTTTCTCTGTTGTTCTTAAACGGAATCTCACTCGATGTAGAAAGGCAATTCCTCGCATGTGATGTTGAAAGAGAGGTCTCGGGCCCGGGTGGCGCGATGCGTTGCGAGCCGTCGGAAAGAATTGTGCATGGTTCACCCTAACAAAATATTGAAGGGCGACCGCGCCGCCGGCCACAGCAAGGTTTCGGCTACGGAAATGGCATTTTCAGCACTATCTACCTCGTGGCTGACAGCTTTGCCAGTGGCTAGTGCACGGCAAGTTAATGTTCTCGGTTTATCTCAACAGCAACACCCACGTTCTGGATGTGTTCTGGATCAACTAAACGCCTGGTCCTGTCAATTTGAACGATAGACTAAATCTTGAGGAGGGTAGCTGTATTGCTGAGTATCTTGACTATATGCTACGTGAAGCGGGGTTCAGCATTTATGTCACCGGTAGTCTACGTACTGCCAGGCCGCCTTCCCGGCCCTCTTAGTATGTATCGTGCTCCATGATAAACTGAACCAATCCAGCCTAAAATCATGGACCGGTTTATTAATACCTGCCACGATGCAGTGGCTACCTGACATTGCAAGTCGCAACTCTCCATCTGGGAGGTATTACTTTGTTGCTGCAGTGAACAGCTTGCCCCGGCCCCCAAGTCCTCTGCGCCGTGTTCTCAGTCTCAATCGTCTCACGAGTTCTTCTACAGTGCCGATTCCTTTGGCTTTAGTGATCAAATCTCATCACCAGCATGAACGTAGACTGTCAGGCAAAGCTAAATGTACCTAAGGTAAGTAGTGACGAATAACCATTGCTCGAAATCTCATCATTGCCAATGATTACTATAGTGATATACTTGCAACAGTCTGTAGAGTTGATTGCGACCCACTTTAAGCAGTACGTCAACTAACAATGCCTAAAGACAACTATTCAACGAGACATAGGTGTAATAACAAGAAGTCCGCATTAAAAGTAGAAGAAGATCAAGCGTAGCTAGCTGTGTAACTCATGCGGTGTCTGGGTCTCAGTAGAAGAGAAAGAATAAACCACACGGCTTCAATTGGATACCTACCAGCTACCCTTGAGCAACTCGGCCGAGATTTCGGAAGACGGGGAAATCAGAGAGGGAGTCTTTCAGACCAAGAAGAAAAAGCATCAAGAGTGAGTCTTTAGAACCTAAATGCAGTTATACAACCATACTACTACTTGCAGGTTTCAAGCTAGTCCGGCCAAAGACAAACTCTAAGAACGTCATCAATACGGCTATTGGCGTTGAAGTTTTTGTCAGGTCTTAGTTACAACATAATAACATAGCCCCCAGGATTTCCTTAGCTAGTACCCAAAAGCGACTGGTTTTAACTCATGTTTCGAATTCTCGCGACTAACCGGGCAGCTGTCTGATTAGAAGGTACAACATGACACATATTACCGTAGGATTCCTCTGTGTAAAATGTAGCATTCATGTTCAATCTGGAGAAAACGAGGGCTGGATCATATAAGCGTCTCGGGGATTCGAGCTGCCCTCATTTCCCATACTCTAGATGGACACGTATGACAATGAGACCTTGGTTTGGAAGATTCCCAAAGCAGAAGGTGGCGCTATGGCGGGATGCTGAAGAAAGAAGAGTCGGCAAACCAGAGTCAGGCCCTGCGAGTCCCAACTCCATGTGAGTCTTGTTCCTTAATTCGTGGCAAACATCTTGGATATGTTGTGACGGCTGCCTGGGAAGCCACACCTCCCAACCGTTCCCTAGCGGCCGTTGCCTGCGCTAATTTCTGACCTGAAGCCTGGTTATCATTGTCCCTCTTGCATGTCGAGGGGCTGGATTGTTGGAGTGGCTGACATTCTGTCCACTCACAAGACGATACCAATATGCACAACATAGCGGTATCCCTTTCCAGCCTTCGGTGGGACATAATAAGAAACTTGCGGCGTCCTGACATAGCTCAAGTAGATTTATCTCAAATGCAAGCCAATTGATTCGAGGTTTGTGTCGCATATCGCGGTTTTGCAGGGCTGACTTAGAAGAGAAGAGGGGTTGCCTCTCATGCTCCCGTCACAGACGTAGACGCTCGCATCCCTTGCTTTCCCACCAGCGGCGTGTTGAATATTAGAGCTGTCCCCGCGATTTCCGTCCTTCGTAATTAGTCCATCTATCTTCTTGGTTCCACATATTATACATACTGCTAGCGTTAAAGTCGATTTCTGTTCGACAGCATGATGATTGTGTGTCCCGGTGAAGGCCCTTGTCGGTCGGTTTTCCGGATTATGCTCAGTGCCTTTCTCATTGCCGTGCATGTGGTCTATGCACAAGAATGCAACCACGCCGGCGGCTGGTCTCTTCGGTTTCCCAGCTCTTCATGTCCCCAAGATGCCCCTTTTGAATGTGGAAAGGCCGGAGGACTTCAGGTTCGGTGCTGTCCCTCGGGGCTGTCGTGTGCGGGCAACGGCAGCTACGATGGGAATTACTGTTGTCCAGGTTCGTGAACACATCGTGATGCCTCTCACTTCATACGATCTTCTGCTGACACTTTTTGCCATGTTAGACTCCACTGACTGCTCTTCCTCGGCGTATAATCACCCCAAGGTACCTCGCGCCATTCCCCAGTGCGATACACCGAGACGAGTATCGTACTAACAACCCAGTGCCCTGATCCGGCTTGGAGTATATGGGTAGCGAACGATACTGTCAACGATAGGCCGGATACTGGCGCATGGTGTTGCAAGCCAGACTACAAAGGCGTATATCGAGACAACGGTACTGCCAACTATTTTTGCACGGCAACAACCATCTCTACACTCCAGCCTAGCTACTACTGGGCTCACATCCTCACTACGACGACATCGTGTTCTTTGACTGCAGCGCCCGCCGGCTTGTCTACAGCGACGTCTCCAGCTTTGTCTTCGGCTACATCCAACGCAACTTCGGCTGGGACTGCAACAGGCGTAGCATCCAGCACAGGCACTCAGTCTGTGTCAACGAGCATATCAAGTTCAGACAGTCAGGAACCTGTCGGAATCCCAATCGGAGTCAAAGTGGGAGCAGCAGTCGGCTGTGTGGCCGGCGCCGCACTGATCGTCGCAGGAATCCTCTTCATTAGAAAGAGGAAGCAAAAGACGATAGTAAGAGTTACACCGCCTGGAGTCACGGAAGAGGGACGTGGCAAGTCTGCGGCCAAGTACTTTTACAAGGGCACGAGGCGTCCTAGTGAACTGGAAACAATCGAGCGGACTGTTGAGCTCGATGGCGTGAAACCGACTTATGAGCTTGACGCGACGAGGAAAGAAGATCAATATGACGTTGTGTCGCCGATGAGCATGCGACCAGGCAATTAGGAGTCTCCATGAACAAATTCAAAGTGACGGATAGCGAGATGCATACATAGCGTTGAGTCAAGTTGGTTGGCTATGATATTAATAGGTATTGTCTACCGCCTTTCCGTACATGCATTGCTGTCTCTTGGTGGAAGGGTGCAGTGCTGAAAGCTCAACCACGAACAAGCAACCAACCGGACGGAGAATTAATCTCCACAGGTCCAATGCCGCCCGTCCATGATACTAACTTCAAGGCTTACCTAGGAGCCATGGATCAAGCAGACTCTGACTACCGTAATGAGTCCATGTCGAAACGCCGAACCTCTATAGACTTCTACAGGTGACTCACACATTGTCTGCCCGTAATCCCGCAACCCCCAACACCTTGCACGCCTACAGCCGCCCGCCTAGTCTCAAAACGTTCAGAAAACTTTGAGGCACGCCTCCCGAGCCTCCACGATGCAAGTGATATGACTGGCAACCACCATCATGGCCAAAAACAAAAGATTTGATCAGTGAGAGGCTTGAACTCTCGGCCTTGGCATTACTCAACATTTCTGATGAAATATTAGTACCACGCTCTAACCAACTGAGCTAACCGACCAGTTGTTATTGATGTCAGAGCTGTGGAAGTGAAGCCCTAAACCCCACTGCAGTCAGCCCGCAACGTGGACATCGTGAGATTAGGGGGACCCACTGTTGATGGGGTCAACCTAACCTCACCCGCTTCACTGGACGGGAATCGGATGTCCTGGTAGCTTGTAATGTCTCTGATCATGAATCGGTTGACCCTTGAAGATTGTGTTTTTTTTTATATGTGTATCCGTCCCATTGAGTTTAGGATGGCGTCAGTACTAACCTCCCTGCACGTGGACTTTCTACAAATCAGCTTCTTTTCTAAGACTTTTTGTTCTAGTATATAAAGGAAGTAAGTCCGGAACCTCGTGTAAGCATATACTGACGCTACTCCGCACTCTATGATCTCAGTCCCAGGTGGTGTACAGTGCAATGTTGATACCCCCTTAGGACGCCCATCCCTGTGTAATCTACTTTGAGTAAGCCTCGCTCTCCGCCTGTTGCGGTGTACCTTGAAATCTGAACGGCATGTTATGCTTTCAACTTCCGATGGTGTCGTGAAGTTTCAACAGTCCTATGTTGTCTCCGAACCATACATAATCATGTGAGGTTTCGGAAAGTCACAAGCTATCTCCGATGACCTTGTTGGTGGCATACCTTGGGGAAAGATATATAAACACGGCCTTTCTCCCTCTCCTGTTCTCGATTCTCAAATCAATCCATCCTCTCATCCACTACTTTGGAGAATCTCATAACACACCATCCACTCTTCTACTGGTAATCAGATTCTCAAACTACTCTACTCATCCTCGCACCACCCCCATCAAGAACATCACCTCACCTCACCTTGCAAACACCACCCACGCAACTCAAACAACCCAAACCACCATCAATATGCAGCTCTCATCTCTCCTCATTCTCACCATCGCCACCATGACCAACCTGGTCACAGCAAAGGGCGGCCCCCCAGCCAAAATCTCTATCCCCCCCTCGGGCAACCCAGAACTCTGCCTCAAGCGCCTCGCCACCTTTCCCAACCGCAACAACAAGCGCGTCGACTTCCTCGGCGGCCGCTGCATCCAAGCCCGCACCTACAGAGGAAAATTCGGCCCCTACAACGGCGACTTCTTCTTCGAGACGTGCTGCACAGACAAGGACGACAACTATGGTGAGCCGACTTACGTCAATGTTGACGAGTGCATGATATTCGATCCCGTTAAGGGCACGCTCGGATGGAATAATCTCAACGAGAAGAAGATTCGCGATCACTGCAGCATGTGTGATGTCAACCCCGCGCTCTTCGCCAAGGATGGGTATCCTGCTGGTCCGTACTTGACCTGCGAGTGCAAGAAGGACAATAATGAGGTGGTTGAGGCTAAGATCTGGTTGGGAACGGATAGTAATGCCTCCAAGGAGCCCAAGGATACGTTTTGGGTCAACGAAGGGGGCAAACTCACCTGCAGGAAGCAACCGAAGCAGTAGAAGCAGGGTGCTTACCAAGTTACTGCGGCGTTATCAGGATCAAGGAGGTTCGGTGTACGATAGAGTAGGGAGTCTCGGTCTTCCCTCAACGATACACCACTTCATGGAAGAGGGCAGCAAGGGTCTCCACCACCACCACCACCACTCAACGTACAAGGCCTGCATACAACATGTACAGATTAGGCCGAAGACGACATCGGAGATCCAAGGCTATGAGGAGAAATGCACTTGAGCAGGAATGGATGATTATCTCTTCAAGCTATCATAGTCAAAGCAAGGCGCGAGGAACGATGCTTGTCCGAAGGAGCTTGATTGACGAAGAGATCGCAGTAAACACAAACAGCAACCACAAATCTCTGGAGAGGGACTGCTATCGAAGACCTTGGGCGTTCATGGCGTTACATTAGCAACACATAGGTTGCATTCATCTGATACCCAATAAAAGCTCAGTGCATCCTCAATAAGTGCCATAATTTGGTGAATTAGCAATAACATGCTCACATCACAAATGATGTCTCATGGTTGAGCCTGGTAAATCTGTGTCTGCAAGCTAGAAATGTGAACAAGTCGGGCAAGATGATGTTATCGCTATTAATGCTCGCTCTATTCGTACTGATTCTACACTTCTAAGTATGCGTTGCCTCTCGGCTGCGTGAATATTCTTCGCGCGCTGCAATGAGGGCTTCTAGTGTGACAGTTTCGTAACCCCATCTGATATCGTGAGACCAACGCCGTTTTATCCGAGATACAACTATCGATGCTTTCCACAAGGTAAGAAAATGATTAAGCGGAGGCGCAGTGTCCACCGTCAACACGGAGGTCTGCACCGGTCATGAAAGAGCTGCCTTCAGACAGGAGGAAGACGGCCGGGGCCTTGAAGTCTTCGGGTGTGCCCAAGCGCTGGAGGAGAGCGCCTCTCATCCAAGTGGTTTCGACTTCAGGCTCGGCCTGCAGGAGTTGATCGGTCATTGCGGTTCGGATGTACTGTTGATGGGTTAGTGATGAATGGTGGTGATTGGGGGATGAGTGAGACTTACACCAGGCGACAGAGTGTTCACGCGGATACCATATTGACCCCATTCCTGGGCGACAGACCTGCACATCTGCTGGACAGCGGCCTTGCTGGTGTTGTAGGCACTGCATGTCAATCCCTGCCGAGGGTTGTTAGTCCAGTATTCCCAGTCATGTTCAAACCAGTTGAACCTTGAAGGTCGAGGTGGAGATGAAGACTCACTCTGTTGGCAATTTCTCCAGACATGCTCGAAATGAGCAAAATGCTACCCTTGCTCTTGCGCTTCACCAACACGCGGGCGGCATGCTTAGCCGTTACAAAGACACCGACGACGTTGACCTTTTGTATCCGCTCAAAGTCGGCGACGGGGTACTCGAGAGCGGGAATCTTCTGCTGGATGCCAGCGCAGGCGACGGCGCCCCAGAAGGGAGCACCGCGGCTGTCGGCGGCATCGGCGATCTCCTCAAAAACCTTTTCCGTGGCCTCCTCGTCGGTGATATCGCACTTGTGGTAGGTGATGGAGAGGTTCTTGGAGGTGGCGAGCTTGGTGAGGTGCGCCCACTCGATGGGTGAGGGCTCCGGGAGGATGTCGAGACAGGCGGCGTTGCCTCCGGCTTCGAGGATGGCAAGGGCAAAGGTGATGCCCAGGCCGCGGCCGCCGCCGGTGATGACGATGGTCTTGTTGGCGAGGGAGAAGAGTTGAGGTGTTGCGACGGAGGAGGTGAGGGGGTCCTTTGCTTCGGGAAGGGGGTGGACGGGCTCTGTGGGGAGTTCCATGTCGCTTACTGCTGCGGGAGACATTGTGAATGGAGTATTGGGTATCTTTGGTGAACCGAGGACGAAGAAAGAGTATTACAATAGGCGTGTTGCTATAAAGGCAGACGACGGCTCACGCGTAAGGTTGAAAGTTGAATGGAGTAAAGGCGAGTACGAGCAGAGAGAACTGGTGGTAGGAGACTCGAAACACGGGAAACATTGTGGTCACGGGTTGGTTATTTGAGGGATACTGGACAACCGGGGAGGACGGGGCGAACGGGAGAGGACACGAACGGGCGTCGCTTGGAGTTGTGTGAAGTGTGTGAAGCTGCGAGATGCCGGCCGAGCCTCCACCATGGGAGGTCCCGATGCGCCGGGGCCCCAGACTGGGTGCTGTGTGGTAACTGTAGTTGTGTCTTGAGAAGTCTTTGAGACGGCGTTCGGCATTGAATCCGCGCGGTGACAAACTTGGAGGGGCGGAACAGGTAGGGTGGTGGCAGGGCAAGTGGAAGCGCTTCTTGGCGGGACGTGGACGCCAGATTGGCAGATGGCGGGGTGAACATGGGGGGGGGAGAAGCAAAGGTCGGCAAGCGTCCGAGTGGAGGGGTAGAGAGAAAAAGGAAACAAAAGTAGAATGGCACGATGGGAAAGTTTGGCTCTGCGGCATGGCTCTTGATTTCAGGGTCTCGACTGGACTGAGGGGCTTGCGGTAGAGGTGAATCGTGATGGATTCATGGATAAGGTTTCGGCGGCTATGGTTGTATGTGAAGTGAAGCCTCGAGAATAGTTCCAAAGAGATTTGCAAGATGTACCGGGCCCACCGGAGCCCAATGTTTCGATAAGGAGGCGATTTGGGCCGCAGGTGGGAGAGTTCAAGAAGGCCGAAGCGATGGACGGCAAGTAGCTATTCCAAGGGACGGTATGGGGAGCAGGTAGAGTGTGCATTTTGTTAATGTCAAAATGTTTGTAAGAACTGTGTGTATCCATCCTCCTCCACATATCAAGTGGAATTTTGGACAGCTGTTGGCATGACTGAGCCACGTATACTGGCAGACTTTGAGACTGTCGAGGATCATCAATCCAGAGAAACTGGAGGCCCTGGAGGAGGACGGGGAAAAGGGTACGAATTCGAGGGTATTCTGGCGGGGAAGAAGATTGAGACGGTGAGTGGCCAGAGTTGATTATGTAAGAGACCCTTGCATTAAGGCACGTGCCAGATACGTATCGTCGCGGCGCTTCGAATCTCCGGAACTGTCGGGCACGGGCCATAGCGGGGCAATTCAAAGACCCGCACTTTAACCGCATCTTCCAATCATTCGCCGTCAGAGCCACCGCGGCATGGCCACTCTCACGCCCCGAGTCTTCGGCATTCTTCCCTTTTCTCTTTTTTTTTTCTTCTTTTTCGGTTGTTCATTTTGCCATCTTTTCTTACTCGCAGCAAATGGAACAGACAGGTCTGTCACATGGGGAATTACTCACTGTCTGTTTCAATCTCAACTTTTTCGGAAGCTTCCCATCGTCTGAGCATCTATCTCATTGCGCTTCTACTAATTAACCCTAGAACCAAAACGAGCACGTAATACTCCGTACATAGAGTCTAGTACACAATTCATCAGACTAAACCTCAACTTCGTCAAGTGACACTGGAGCTGTTCTTCTGCCGAGTCCAATGTCAGCCGAAAAGGGAAAACCTAAGCGCTGCTTTCCCGATACTGCAGTGCTTCGCATTGCTGGCCATCCCACTCTCCATCCCAAAATGGTCATCTCAACCACCTAGAGGGGTCTCAAGTTGCACCGTTTGCCCATGATTATATCTGTCGAAATGGCCGCAATGAGTTGCCCTCCGTCTCTGGCTTTGTTATTCCATCATCTCTTGCCTGACTTTTCCTCTCATTCCCAAGCAAGAGAACTTCATTGAGACCAAGTGCTTTTTGCATACTCCTTACCATTGCGTCACGTATTGCCCTTCGTTCACTACATCGAGCACAGTCGACCAAGAAACCCGACGGCTCAGTGCTACTACTACCCCTTATAACACCAAACCCGAGATACCCTCATCCTTTAATAAACCGCCGATACCTCACAATGGCCCCCAGTGCAGTTCCCTCAGAGCCCGTGGCTCAGGGCATCGTGGCCGCCAAGTCTCTCAATGGCCCCAATAGCCAGTTCCAGCTCACCGAGAGCGAGAAGAAGGAGGTCGACTTCGTTCTCCGCACATTCCGCTGTCTCATCGCCGATTTGTGTGAGCAGTTCAAAGGCGGTCACCCGGGCGGTGCCATGGGCATGGCAGCCATCGGCACATCTCTCTGGAAGTACGCCATGAAGTACTCGCCCAAGAACCCAAACTACTTCAACAGAGACCGTTTCGTCTTGTCAAACGGCCACACCTGTCTGTTCCAGTACAGCTTTCTGCACTTGACCGGGTACAAGAACATGACGATGGACCAACTCAAGTCTTACCACTCCGCTCGCACCGACTCCATCTGCCCCGGCCACCCCGAGATTGAGCATGAGGGTATCGAGGTGACGACCGGCCCCCTGGGCCAGGGGATCGCAAATGCCGTTGGTCTGGCTGTTGCTACCAAGCACCTCGCCGCTACTTACAACCGCCCCAACTTCCCCGTCGTCAACAACATGACATGGTGCATGATCGGAGACGCCTGTCTGCAAGAGGGTGTCGCCATGGAGGCGATCCAGCTCGCCGGTCACTGGAAGCTGAACAACCTCGTCGTCATGTACGACAACAACCAAATCACCTGCGACGGCAGCGTCGACCTCTGCAACACCGAGGACGTCAACACAAAGATGCGCGCCTGTGGCTGGAACGTCATTGAGATTGAAGACGGCAACTGGCACCTTGAGGCTATCGTCCGCGCCATGGACCAGGCTCGCAACAGCAAGGACAAGCCTACTTTCATCAACATCCACACTGTCATTGGGGTTGGCAGCGCCGTTGCTGGTGACGCCAAGGCCCACGGTGCCGCGTTTGGTGCCGCCGATGTTGCCAACATCAAGAAGACCTTCGGCATGGACCCCGAGAAGCACTTTGTTGTGTCGGACCAGGTCTACGACTACTTCCGCCAGGCTGTGTCCCGCGGCGAGAAGATCGAAGCCGAGTGGAACCAGCTTGTTGAGGGATACTCTCGTGAGCACCCGGAGCTCGCTGCCGAGTTCAAGAAGCGCGTTTCTGGAGAATGGGTCGACGACTGGCGCAAGTTTGTCCCCGCCAAGGAGCATCTCCCTACGACGCCTACTCCTTCAAGAAAGTCGGCTGGTCTGGTCTGCAACCCCATTGCCGCTGGTCTGAACAACTTGATGGTCGGCACTGCAGACTTATCTCCTTCAGTGAACATGATCTGGAAGGGCAAGGTTGACTTCCAAAACGTAAGTAGAAGATGATGGTCCTTCTCTAGGGACGACACTGACACCTCTCAGCCCGACTTGAGAACTTCATGCGGCATCAACGGCGACTACTCTGGCCGTTACATCCACTACGGTATCCGCGAGCACGCCATGGCTTCCATCTCCAACGGCCTGGCTGCCTTCAACAAGGGCACCATCCTCCCCGTCACCTCAAGTTTCTTCATGTTCTACATCGTAAGCTCTCTTCCCATCGCTTCTCGCGAAAGCTGTCCATCAACCTTGAGGACCGTACTGACACATCTCATTAGTACGCCGCCCCTGGTGTGCGTATGGGTGCCCTCCAGCGCCTGCAACAGATTCACATCGCGACCCACGACTCGATCGGAACCGGCGAAGACGGCCCCACCCACCAGCCCATCGCCCTGCCCGCCCTCTACCGCGCGATGCCGAACCTCCTCTACATCCGACCCTGCGACAGCGAAGAGACGGCCGGCGCCTTCATCCTGGCCATGGAGTCCAAGAACGCCCCCACAATCATCTCCCTCTCCCGCCAGAACCTCGAGCAATACCCGCAATTCACCTCGCGCGACGGCGTGCAGAAGGGCGCCTACGTCTTCCAGGAGGTCCAGGACGCCGACGTCACGCTCATCGGCGTCGGCGCCGAAATGGTCTTTGCCGTCAAGACGGCCAAGCTGCTCGCGGAGAAGCACAATATCAAGGCCCGCATCGTCAGCTTCCCGTGCCAGCGCGTCTTTGACCAGCAGCCGATTGAGTATAAGCGCGAGGTGCTGCAGTACCGCTCCAAGGCGCCGCGCGTCGTCATCGAGGCCTACGCCGTCAACGGGTGGGAGCGCTACGCCGATGCCGGCTACTCGATGAGCACGTTCGGACACTCGCTTCCCGGCCCCGACGCGTACAAGTACTTTGGCTTTGACGAGGCTGTCATCGCGCCCGAGGTCGCCAAGCTTGTCGAGGAGGTTAGAGCCAACGGGGTCGAAAGCCTCAGGGGCGAGTTCCGCGATCTGAACCCTGTTCACCACCACTAAGACGCCATCAGTCATGAATCATCTATGAATACCCCCTATTTTAGATGAGGTGGTTTTGTTTTTCTTCTTTTGACGGAAAAGTTTGAAGAGGGCGGATTCGGTAACGGAAACGGGGACACTAGCGGCGTTCAGGGCAACCGGGGGGGGGGGGGGATTTCGGCAGGCAATGGAATTGCATAGAACACGGATCATCACCCTTGATTCTCGATAATAATTGAGTGCAAAAAGAGTCACGAATCTGTTCGTTTTTGGAAGTATCAACGACGGGGACGCTGCAGCAGGCCATCAGCTGGTTGCATCCCGAGTCATGGAGTGAACTGCTGTCGCATAGATGGCTCGCTGTGGGTGAGGTTTGATTGGGCTCATTTCGACGGGTCGAACTGGTGAAGATCGCACTTTGAGGCTGTGTTTCTTTTTTCTGCTTCTCAGGTGAGATTGAATGAGAATTGGACCGTAACGTATGAGTTTACAGACATGCACCTCAGCTCTCATCTCTCATCTCACATCTCACATTACTTACTCAAAACTGCGAATGACAACTGTCTATGAGCCTGATTAAACCGAGACCAGAGACGACGATTAACAAGATCTTACTCAAGTCCAACGTGAGGATCTGGAACGAGGGTGAGAAAAAGCTTGAGGGTTGCTCTCGGTTTCTTTGGCTGACGGGGTGTGGGGGGGGGGGGGGGGGGGGTATGTGGAGTACTTCTCCAACAATTACCACAACGCAAAGCCTCAAAGACGAACTCATCCTTGGCTCCCACTGCTAGGTAGCCAGACTGTAAGACTAAGAAAGAATGGCGGGGTTGACGGGCGTGACGGGGAGCTCCCACGAAGAGGAGCGCCACTCGTGACGAGGGCTGTTGGGGCTTTTGGGGCTGGCAAGACTGTGCAGAGTTTGTCCCCAAGTCGAAGTCAACAAGGATCCCCCATGCCATCCCCGGGCCAATCTTCTTAGCTCTACAAAGTGCGGCAGACGGCAAGACAGGAGACGCCAGTTTAGCAGTCCGTCCGACACCGCTTACAGCTTCCCCCAGACTTTCTCCCCGCAGAATCTCTTCCTCATGTGTGCCTCTTGTTTCGTCTGCCTCCCCGTGACATTGTCATTGTCTGGGTGCCATAGCTCCCTCAGTCACTGCCGGATACGCAGCCGCCCTCACGAGCCTTGATAATCAACAGCAGAGAGAGCAGAGAGTCAGTCGTCATCACATTACTGTGAAGAGGCTTCCATTGGGCATCAACAAGTCGACCTGGAGTTCGTGGATTGAATGTTGCCAAGCGCGGGGGTACAATGGGATGTCTGGCTCTCGGCAGATGTGAATAGTAAACTCTGTTTGATATCAGACGTCTTGGGGACCGGGGAGCTATCGCATCCCGCAAGATACCCTTTTCTCTCTTACCCTTCACACTACCTTACCTTCAACGGCTATCCTGAGTCTTGACTCCTGACCATTGGGGCTTGAGGGTTCGCCGACGTGGCCCATAATATTTTGCCTCTCCTTGCCTTATACACATCCCATCTCGACCTACTCTCAGTCGCGCCCGCTCCCGATCCTCCGCGGGAACGCATGTCGAAGCGCTTTTTGCTCCACGAACATCTCACATAACCTTTTTTTTTTTTCCCTCTAACCCTTTCCCTTTTTTCTTCGTTCCAATTGTGGAGGGGGACATACCCCCGCAACACCCGTTCTGCAGCGGATTGTGCCAAGTTCCACCACACCGGAGAGTTGCCGCCGCTGCGCTTACGGATTGCGAATTCGGATGCCCGAGTCCAGACGGTCTAGACCACGCCCACAGCTCGAGCCGATGAGCTCGACTTCATCATGGCCGCCGACGACGAGACGCAACGCCAGCCGTCTCCCGTCGTCGACGATGGCAGGGCCCCACGTCCCCCGATCGACCCGGCCGCGGGCGATGGACCTCCGCCGGCAAAGAAGAAGAGGACCCGGACCCGGACGGGTTGTCTCAACTGTCGCCGCAAGAAGCGCAAGTGCGACGAGGGCCGTCCGGCCTGCGGCGGGTGCTCGAGACGGAAGGAGGTTTGCGAATGGGGTATCAAGGTGACATTCCGGGCCGAGAACGCCCAGACGATATTGCAGGATCACCCGTCGATGAAGAAGGCTCGGCGCCCGCCACCTCGTCGTCACTTTGAGATACTCGACGTCACCAGCGAGGTAATCCGCGATTACCACCTACCACCCGGCTTTCACGATTACGATTCAGATCGGGAACTTGAACCGGACATTTCGCCCATCGAGAGCGGAACTCACGGCCCGCACCACGAAGACGACGACGCAAAGAACTTTGACAGTCCCGTTTCCTACACGACCTCGACGGCCGGTGGCAACACTGCCTCTATCGCAGGATCAAGCACAGCAAAAAGGACACTATCTTCATCTGGACCGAGTTCTGCACCGACGGACCATATTCCCATCCCGGGCTATGGCTCTCTTCTGACACCATCGACGCGGCGGGAGGATGCGTCGAGCGACAAGGGACACCCACCAACAGGCGACCGCATGGACTTCCAGGCTTCACCCTCTTCAGCATCACAGGTCATTACTGACAGCGCTGTTGCAAACCTCATTTACCTGAGCCAGGGAGGCGCAGGCCAAGGACCGCATGAGCATCCTGTGTCCACCGTCAGCGGTCTGCCCGTCACAACTCTATCCCTCGACCCTCTGTTGGATACGCCATTCGACTTCATGGACCAGATGTTCACGCCCGAAGGCTCCTACGAAGATGGCATCTTCTTGCCGGGCTCGGCATACCACGAGCTCCATTCTACGCTGCGAAACCACCTCATCCAAGAGGTTCGCTCAAATGGCCCTACAAGACCAGCTTCGCCGGCCTCTGGCCAGAACTCCAGACGGAGATCCATCGACGCCAGCTCCGGGCCTTCCTCGTCCAACGAGGTGGCCGAGACAGTCGGCGAAATATCTTCCGATCATGAGCCCCCTCGTCTTCCCCTGGAGGAGGAATGCGCGCTATGGAAGAACTGGGTGGGCGAGATTTCGCCCTGGCTGGACAAATTCGATAATCAGCGCCACTTCCAGCATTCCCTTCCGACGATGGCTCGGTCACACGATCATTTGAGATACTCCATGCTCGCTCTTTCAGCTCGACAAATGGAGCTGAAAGACGGAAGTCGGCCTACAGACCAGAGCCTGGCTCTTTATCAAGAGGCGATACACCTACTACTACCCCAACTCCCGACGCGAACAACAGCCGTTATAGCTTCATGCGTCGTACTTTGCGTTCTAGAAATGGCCAGCTGCTCGCCAAAAGCTTGGCGCAGACATCTCGACGGCTGCGCCAGTTTGATGGAGGCCGTTGGGATGAACGGCTTCGTCGGCGGCGTCGAGCAGGCGCTCTTTTGGTGTTTCGTCCGAATGGACGTCTGCGGTGGCCTCATTTCCTCGGTCAAGACCTTGATACCGGTCAACCATTGGGCATCGCCAGTCAACCTCGAAACAGATGTTGGCTTATTCCTCACCAACCCCGGCCACGACATGTGGGCCAATTACGCAGTCTACCTCTGTGCCCAGGTTCTCGACCTACTTGCTCCACTAGCCAAGGCCAACCCAGGCGGACTCTTCTTTGACGGGCCAAGAAATGACATGAGATATCGAGTACGATGGATGAAGCTTTGGAGATACGTCGAAGATTGGCACAGCCGCCGGCCATCCCAGATGCAACACATCATGTCGATACCCTCCTCGGACGCGGAACCCTTCCCAAAGATCTTGTACAGCAACCCCGCCGCCATTTCGGGGAACCAACTATACCACACGGCGTCACTCTTGATGCTACAAAATAGACCGGCCTCGCTACGACTATCACCGAGGCCTCGGTCAGCACTCTGGCACGCCAGGCAGATTTGCGGAATTTCAATGACTAATCACCACCACGGGGCGTGGACCAACAGTGTCCAGCCCCTTTGGATTGCGGGACGTTGCATGAGCCATCCTGCGGAGCATCGCGCGATACTACAGTTACTAGAAAAGATCGAGACAGAGAGCGGATGGGGCACCAAGTGGAGGGCAGATGACCTGAAGGAGTTTTGGGGTGACTTGGGAGACGGTTAGTATCCCGGAGACGAACGAGACAAAGACTTTTTTTTCTTTTTTTACGTCATGTTTTCTCTTATTTCTCTCTCTTTTACTTTTTATGATCTTAAAGATGGAATGAAGTGCTCTGACACTAAATCTCGTGCGAGCAGCTCTAGCCGCTCGGGAAGGCATTGGCGCAACGAGACCTCCACGTAACGCGTCGATATTCAGTGTCGGCTCTAGTTTCGGATCAGCATCCAGTCTATGAAGAACACTGCGCGCGTGGCACTACCGTTCCTACTTGCTACCTTACTACTTCAAAAACGCGACTCAGTCAAGGAACCCGTCACAGTGGTTGACAGCACGCGGTCTCCGAACTGCTGGAATCCGAGATTAGCATCAGAGAACAAGCGCCGCCCCTCCTCCCCTCATCCTTCCCACCGTCCCCGCGGGTTAACAATCTGACGTTGGGATCCAATCTGGTCCGAGGAAAGCTGCCCCATGGGACGAGATTGGCGGGTCCAGACGTCGGGACAGGACGGTTTTCCAAGGTCAAAGGCGTGGGTCGCCATCTCCACACTTTCCCTCCGCCCTCCCCCCTCTTCCATCCCCAGGAAGCTGCCCGCGAGTAACACTACTAATACTGCGGAGACCAAGTACTCCGTAACGGCTTACTTGACGGCAGGCGGAAGCCCCCATGGTGCGGCGTTCATGCGGGATTGCGGAGGAGTGGCCAGGGACTGGCCGGGGTGAGAAGAAAAGTACGAGGATGACCTCATTTCCCCGTCTCCTGCTAGGGATGGTTCGAGGGATGAAATAAGCGCGGGTCCTACAGTTATGCTACCCATGAAATGGCTGAGATGTACTTGTCTCGACAGTGATGCGATCGGACGGCAACTCGTGCCGCACTCGGGATGAAGTACCTTGAGATGTGGCTGATCAGATGTGGTTTCACGCGTCCCGGCAGTTGAAGACCACAACGTTGACTGCCATTGCATCAAGTTAGTTGGTGCTGCCACTGCGGCGTTCATCATCCCGCGGCAAGTGAATCTGTCCAGTCATCAAGTCACAGGGATCTTGCTTAGACGAGGAAGGGGAACACTCTCTACTTGGACAGATTTGCATTGGCAAGAAGATCGGAGAATAGTCCGTCAGGGTTGATGGATGAGGCTTGGGGCCATGAGGGTGTGGCAGGTCGAGCCGCAAGCTTGGTTTAGCGGCTGAGCGGCAACTTGCCTGCTTTCTTCTGAACAGGCGCTACGAATGGCCTTTCCTGGGAATTGGATACTAATTAATGAGAGGGCGTCGACACCGGCTCAAAAAGACACGCGAAGGAAGTCTTGTTCAGCCAAATTAACTCGGCCGTTGACTGTTCGCTTTACGCCTCGGAGAGAGCTGGAGTACCGAAGAAGCAGAGGAGGAATGAACGGGTGAAATCCCACCGGCCACATGAAAAACAAAAACAAAAAGGCGCTTTCAACTTCCTTGATTTTGTTGCAGAGGGCAGCTCCACGCATCTTTACGCAATGGCCCAAACTCGGCAATTTTCGCCCTTGTCCCTGTCCGTTTAGTCCGTCTTAAGACTCTAGCCCCTCCGGCAATAGCCCCCCCCCCCCCCCCCCCCGGATTCGCAGCCGGGACCTTGGCTTTTTCTCTCCCAAGTACTCCGTAATTGCGTAAAGCAAGCCTGTACAGGGGCTGGGCGAGAAGGACGGCTCCGCCTGCATATAGGAAATGCATACAACGTTGTCTGTAACCATATACTTCCTAGTCTCTAATACCGTTGAGAAAAGGGAGGCTGAGAGGGTGGAAAACTCTTTCACGCCCGCATCCCGGAAACTCGCGAGCTTGAAGAAATAGGACAACGGTAACACTGTACACTGGTACAGATCCCCCCTCGTCGCGAGTCATTTAGACAGCCATTCTCACCCAACTATGCGCGTCCAACTGCCCGCAGAAACTGTAACCAGGCCAGGGACGGTATTCAAAGTACAACCCTCCTGGTCTTGTTCACTCCGTCAGCATGTTGTTTTCGGTTTGGCTTAATCAACCTCCGCGCTGGGGTCCCCGCACTGCGGTTCTCTGTGTGGGGGAAGAGAGAGACAAACGCAGAGACTCTTCCTCTCCCATCTCCACGGTGGGAAGAGATGCAGCCGACTTGACACACTTGGGCTTCTACAAGGTTTTGCAGCAATCAAATGACGTTGTTTCGAACGCGGGCCAGCGATTTCTAGACGAAGAAGAACAGTCCCGGTACCGACCAAGAGGATTTTGGAGCTAGCGGCTGCAGTGTACCCTTTTTCTCCTTCAACACCAAAGGCGCTTTTCCTTTGCTCTGCATGGCATGCCTGGATTGGATCTGTACATATAGAACCGCGTTCCCCATCCATCGTGAAAACAAAAGGGGTCCGTTCTTTGTCCACCTCTCCGGCCTCGAGTCATCTCAACTCTTCTTTTCCTTTTAGTCTCATCTCGCGATCAACCCCCAATCGCGTGAGGGCATTCCCTTACCTTCTGCCACACCGACCTTCCCTGCCCTTATCGTCACCAATCATACCCCGTTCACCATGACCATCCTCGTCGGAAGGCCTCTCAACTGGGCCATCACGGCCACGGCCGGCTCCGGCTTCCTCCTCTTCGGATATGACCAGGGCGTCATGTCCGGTCTGCTCTCCGGCTACGCCTTCACCCGGACCTTCCCCGAAATCGACACCACCAACGGCGGCGGCGGCAGCTCCTCGCTGCAGGGCACCGTCGTGGCCATTTACGAAATTGGATGTTTCTTTGGTGCAATCTTCTGCCTGCTCGTTGGTGAGAGGCTCGGACGTCGCAAGTGCATCATGCTGGGGTGCATTATTCTGAGTATTGGTGCCGCGCTGCAGGCTTCTGCTTTTGGGATCCCGCAGATGATTGTGGGACGTACCGTTGCTGGGCTTGGTAATGGCATGAACACTAGTACTATCCGTGAGTCACTCTTTCACGAATTCTTTTATATTCAAAGATGAGGCTAATACCCGGCAGCTGTGTGGCATTCGGAACTCATGAAGGCGGATAACCGTGGCAAGGGTCTCGCCATTGAATTGGCCATCAACATCTTTGGCGTCATGTCCGCATACTGGGTCGACTATGGCATGAGCTACGTGTCCAACGACGCTCAATTCCGCTTCCCTCTCGCCCTGCAGATCCTGTTCGCTCTGGTTACCTTCCTCGGAATCCTGGTGTTGCCCGAGTCTCCCAGATGGCTCATTGCCCACGACCGCCACGACGAGGCCAAGCACATCCTCTGGGCCGTGGAGAAGGACGCCACGTCCATCACCGAGAACGAGCCCAAGCTGGAGCGAAACCTGGCCGAGATTCAAGCTGCCATCAGAGAGGAACGGGAGGCTGCCAACACTGGTAGCTTCAAGACGATGTTCAAGAACGGCGACCAGAAGTTCCTTTACCGAACTTTGTTGGGTATCGGTGGCCAGTTCATGCAACAACTGAGTGGTATCAACTTGATCACATACGTAAGCTTTCTCCACTGCCCATCCTCGAGTTTGGGCAGATTAGACAGCCATTTCCATCTGAACCGTAGCTAATTCTTCTCAGTACGCCCCAGTCATCTTTCAAGAGTCTGTCGGCATGTCACACAACCTCTCCCTCCTGCTCGCAGGTTTCAACGGCGTTGCCTACTTCTTCTCCTCTCTCATCCCGATCTGGATCATCGACCGCCTCGGCCGTAGAAAGCTCATGTTGTTCGCCGCCGGCGGCCAATGCGCCTGCATGGCTATCCTCGCAGGCACCGTCTCCAACGGCAGCGTCCCCGCCGGCATCGTCGCCATCGTCATGCTCTTCCTCTTCAACTTCTTCTTCGCCGTCGGCCTGCTCGCCATCCCCTGGCTTCTGCCCGCCGAATACGCGCCCCTCGCCATCCGTACCCGCGCCGCTGCCCTCGCGACCGCTTCGAACTGGATCTTCACCTTCCTCGTCGTCGAGATCACGCCAGTCAGCATCAAGAACATTGGATGGAAGACCTATGTCTACTTCTGCATCTTCAACGCCTTCTTCATCCCTCTCATCTACTTCTTCTACCCCGAGACGCAGAACCTCAGCTTGGAGCAGATCGACAAGCTTTTCACGGGCGGCAAGGTGCAGCTGTACTGGAAGGCGAGCATGGGTACCCCTGGCGAAGGGTCCCACGTTCTCAACGAGAAGGACTCCGAGTCTGGCTCTGGAGATGTTCTTCGCGTGGAGAACAAGGAGGAATACACTCACTAGGGTGGATGTCACAGTCGAGAGAGGGGTGACGTGTAATAAACGGTCAGGCTTCTGCCTACAGGATTGAGAAGGGGTTTGCAATTTGTTTAGGAGGTGGTTCATGATATCCAACGGTCTGCATACCGTACAGCAGAAAAGGAGGTGTCTCATTGTGCAGACGACGACAAGAGTGGAATAATACAATTTTTCTCAAATTATCAAATATCACAAAGGGAGGTAGCAAGTGGAAGACATGTATAGTAGAAAGTGGCTTGATTCCTCTAAGTGGAAGATCCGTATGAGGGTCATATATATACTGTACAAGACGGGTAATCGGCTTGTGGAAAGCGGTATCGTACGGCAGTAACCGGCAGCGCCACGTGTGGCGCTGCGACATCAAACTAGTCTTCTGTCCTCAAAGCTTGCTATCCTTGTACACCGGCTTTCTCTTCTCGACGAAGCTTTTGACGCCCTCAGTCATGTTTTCTCCCGCCTCCATCTTGCGATAAATTGTCTGGTCAATGTAACCCGTAGCCTCTACCGGGCCCATCGGCTCCCAACCAGTCTTCAGCCCCTCTCTCGAGACAATGATCGAGTCCGGTGAGTTTCTCGCAATGGCCTCCGCGGCACCCAGAGCAGTCTCCATCAAATCGTCGGGCTGCACAACCTTGTTCACAAGGCCCCATGACACCATTTCCTCGGCAGTGTAGTCCGTTCTTCCAATCAGCGCCATCTCCGTGGCGCGCTGGCGGCCCACCGACTTGATCAAACGAGGGAGAGCGCCAGCAATGGCGATGACGCCGATGGTCACTTCGGGAAGTCCAAACTTGGCCTTGGTGGACGCGTACACCAGGTCCGCGTTGATGATCATCTCCATCCCACCGCCTAGGCATATACCATTGACGGCAGCAATGACGGGCTTCTTCCCACCGCGATTCGACAATCCGCCGAAGCCGGCGGTGGAAGGCCACTTTTCACCTGGCTTGGCTTCCGGGTGATCGGCCGTCACCACCGGAGCCTGTGGGGCCGGGTCCGCGCTGACCGAAGTCGGGTTGTTGGATTTACCCGTGGTGTTGCGGACGTTCCACTCTTTCAGGTCCGCGCCGGCGCAGAAGGCGCGACCGGTGCCCGTCAGAACGGCACAGCGGAGGGAGGTCTCCGCGTCGTACCACTCGTAGAGGCGGGCGAGGTTGTAGTGGAGTTCCGAGTAGATCGAGTTCAGGTGGCGGGGCCGGTTGAGGGTGATTAACATGATGTGCTGGCGGGGGAAGGAGACGGCGGCGTCTGGGCCGATGTCCGGGGGAGGGCTGGCGAAGTTGGGCGTGTGGGACATTGTGACGGTGGAAGACGTGTAGTGCTACCCGTACAAGGGACTTCGTAAAGCTCGTGGATGAAATTGGTTGAGGCGGAGGCGGAGTCGATGTCCAAGGGGAAGTGAGGATGTTTCACCGGGTTCAAGGTTGAGAGGACAGGTTTTGAAGTTTGTTGAGTTGTATTCGTCGTGTGTCACGCGTGATAAGTGTGGTTAAGTATCAATTGTGTCAATTGAGTCTTTGAGGGTTGGATCTGACGAGTTGTATTAAAAGAGCCGGCGAGGAATGCATTAGAGGAGCGAGGTTGGGGAACATCCGGGGTAAACATGATGTGTTACGACCACTTGCCTCGGCTCGCTTGAGTAATCGGGACTGGTTTCCGTGCGGGGTACACCGAGCTCGGTGTGAGGTGGTGAGGTGAGACCTGGGTTTAGGTGGAAATGTTGGGGAAATGGAGACACTAGGAACACCATATCCACCACCGATCCACGCCCTAGTTGAGTTTAAGACCTATTGTTAAGTTAAGCATCCGCACGGCATCAGTTCGACGGTTAGAAATCTTGGCTTTGGGGCTAAGCTGGTTGTCTCCGATTTATGAGGTCTCAAATAGATTGACTTGCCTACGAAGGGCTTGTCACCAACGTTCCATAGCACCTACGGGTAAGATTAAGAGATTACCTTACTTGTAGCTGGTGTATGTTCATCGACTCTTGCCATAACTTTTCAATCGTGTTCTAAAATGAATATGTTCACATGAATGCATCGCCTTTTGATTGGCAGGACTTCTTTGTCTTTAAACAGGTTGGCCTTCTCCAAGCACATGACCGCGATCGAGGTGGCCTCCTTCTTCCTCTACAGGTCGATCCAAACCTCAATGTTGGTTATACAACCTGAACTCGGATATCGTACAAGAATTTCAGAGCGAAAAATCAAGTGTGTAAGATAATAGAAGTACACATAGGTAGGTCATAGCATTTCGGCAGAAGACCTTTACTAGACGCATTCCACGTTGAGAATTCATCTGTGGGCAATTGATTTGAGCCGTTTAGTTCAGTAAACGGACACCTTCCATGCGTACACTTCTTATACCGAGCATTGAATTCATAGCTTTATATCCTATTCAAATCAAAAAGGTACCAGGATCCAAACAGCCCTAGTTCGACAGCCGGTCCATCCATAAGACACCTTACGATGTGATGTCACTCCTAAGAGGCGAAGACGCCTCGATGTGTCGTGTCGGAACTTGATGATCGCAGGTGTTCCCCAGAGTCACCATCCCGGGAAGGGATGTGGAATTGAGGCAATACCAGTAGTTCAATTATTCCGGTCGCCAGTTACCGACGATGAGAACCGGCCTGTTTCATCTCAGCGATGTCCGAATGGCACATTGTGACCAGTGTGATACAATTTCCGAACTGATTCTTGCATGCAAGCCCCTGGAGAATAGTAGTTTCGTCGCAACTCAAGACTCCAAGCCATAAGATCAGCTAGTACAGATCTCTTGGACCTGTATGTCAATCAACTTATTGCTGAAGCCGAATCTCAGATCGGATGGAACCTGATGGAATGAACTTCTGGTTCTCAAACGGCACTTCGTAAACTTGTTAGTAGTGGAGTTGATTAGTATCGTGGTGTCGCAAAAACGACGCCGTTAATTGCGGGCAGCAATTAACGCCTGATATACCCTACGACAGGTCGGTAATATGTGTAGGGCGGAGAGAAGATTTAGACTAATCGTCCGAAGATCCCGAATCCGACTCCATGGAACCATGATCCCGTACGTCCTAAGACGGCGAACATCATGTAACGAAACTCGAACTTCTTGGCCAAAACTCCCTGGATTGAGTCGAGTGCGTCGTCTCCTCGACCCCTGACAAGCCACACCCCTGTTTGACAAGCGCCGAATCGTAAAGTCTCCGACTAAATACTGCCCCGGACTACTCCAGCAACAGCGAGCCCGAATAAACTTTCTTTGGAGTGCTCTTTGACCGAACTCCTTTTTTTTGCCCAGCACACCATCTCACAGACCTGAGCAAGTGTCAGCATTGTCGCAATGCGGCTCTGAATTTTGACTTTTACACCCAAAACATCAGATTGCACTGCAGAATCATGCCAAAACTCCCGAGTCAGAGAAGGGGGAAACTTCGTCGCAAGTCTGCGGATAGATGCTGTCTGAAGTCTTGAACTCTATCTTCGGATGGCATGGGAACGATGGCGATGTTCGCAGGCAGCTCTTTCTGGTAGCATATATCATCATGAGCGACGCCTTTGGACCTTTGATGGAAGAATACTAATCATCACTTTCTCTTGACACAACGGGCTCAACTCTCTTTTTCGCTTCTCTTTTGCAACTTACTTTCTTTTTGCGCAGTGCCGGCCATTGCTCTTCTCTGCATCCATTCGTTTGTAAACGCCAGAAACGTTAATCTTCACATTCTCTAGAGTGTCCCGAAACCTAAACATAAATCACAATGAAGCCCTCCCTCCTTACCCTTGTTGGTCTTCTGGCTACCTCTGTGGCTGCTAACCCCGTTCCTGCCAGCGGTGGTGCTGTTCTTGCACCCAGGGGCAACGGAGCCAACAACAATAATGTTGCCAACGCTGCGAAGGGCAAGAAAAATGGCAAGAAGAATGGGAACAACGGCGCCTCTGGAGGTGCGGCAAAGAACGGAACTGCCAATGCCGGCGGTGCTACTGCTGGCGGTGCCGCTGCTGGTGGCACCGCTGCTGGTGGTGCTGGTCCTGGTGGTGCTGGTGCAAAGGCTGGCAACACTTCCGCTCTCGTCTTGCCTGATGGACGTATCAAGGCAGATGCGACACCCGAGAACTTCAATGTCCTCGAGAGTGTGTTCAAGAGTGCTGTTATCAAGGGCAATGGTAAGTGATCCTTCATACGTCTTGATGTCGAACCGTAAAGCTAAGACATGATCAGGTCTTGTGTTCAGCGACATCATTACTTTCCCCGAAGGCCAGGCCTCACTTGTACGTATTGAAGCCATTTCATCACAAATCTTAGACTTTTGCTTACAATTACTAGTTCGACAAAGCCACCAACACCAAGGCTTTCGCCATCAACATTGACGACAAGTCTGTCTTCGTCCCCAAGGGTGGTGAAGCTCAGTCGAACATTCGTCGTGCCGATCTGCTCCCCAGCATCAGATCTCAGCTCAATGACGTGGCTGTCACTGGTGTTCGCACTATGCACTTCTCTATCCAGCGTGATGCCGCCAAGCCACTCAACGCATCCCACGACTATCAGGTCTTCAACCTTGAGTCCAAGGATTTCTCCTTCCATCAAATTGATGTCCGCACTGGAGCCGACAACGGCAACGAGATTGCAGTCTTTGGTAACTCCAAGACCACTCCGCCTGCAAAGATCTTCTCAACTCCGTTCGGCGAGGGACAATTTGAGAACTTTGCGATCAAGATGGACTTCACTGCCAAGTATGTGCTCCTCTTCGAAATATTCCATCCTACATTTGGCCAGTCTGACTAATCGCGTTTCACAGCACCGTCCAGGTGTTCCACAGCACCGCTAATGAGCCCTTGAAGCAGGTCACTGAGCCTGTCGCCAATGGTAAGTTCTCTGCCTAAACACAGAGTGTGGCCAACCTAACATGATGCAGCTCTCGACGGCCTTGGTGAATACCACTTCTCTCTTCAGAAGAACCCCGTTGGAACCGGAACCCAGCCCACTGGCGTTAAGGAGGCAGTTATCTTTGGCGGCATCTTCATGGAGGACTCTACCTCCGGGACGGTTACCCTCCAGTAGTCACTTTAGTTGCTCGACCCGATCCTTGATTATTTTTCTGCAGCAGAGAGCTGTATCTCGAGGCCGTCTTCAGGCGTCAAGAATCAAAATTCAATATAGAGTTCACCGCCTCAGCGTACTGGACAGCCAATGTGAATTACGGCCTCCCTCTGAAACTGGTGAGAATATTTATGTGACACATGAATTGCTCAATTGGATGTACCTAATTATTGGCCAGGTCATTCATGCACCACCATCCAACTGGCCTCTCTACCCTTAATATCAGAATGTTGCCAAAGCCCGATGATATCAGCATTTGAGCCTATCCTGCATGTAGCTTCTTTTCTAAGATGAGACTTTCTCTTGGAGCATATTACATAATCTTGATAATTCTGAACGTCGAAAGTCCCGGTGAGACGCGCAAGGCCGTAGACCGCAGACCTACTATGTACAAGCGAAGAAGTCAGAAGACCTTTTCCCTGCGCATGAAAACACTACACACCAAGCAAATCGCCCCAGCAGAAATGATTGGCACATACGCCAGTTGGATTGCTCGAGTGATGCCATGGATTGCCTCGGCTCTCACCTCGGGTGAGGCCGAGTCGATCAAGCCGCTCCCCACGCCCGCGAGAGCGTCAGAGATCACGTCAGCAGAGACATTGGGGAATACTTGCGCCAGTGCACGTTGGCCATAGTTGATGAAAAGCGCTCCTGACATTCCCGTGCCGAGGACGATGCCGATCATTTGGCCAACAGTCATGAACCCTACACTGTAAGGGATCTCGTTCGGTTGAACCTTCGTCTGGGCAACTGCAAATCCGGCCTGGCAGAAACAACCGACACCTGTGCCTAAGATGATAGTGTATCCATAGATCTTGGCATTCGAGGTATGTTCATCGATGATATCTGATAGCAAAGGTCAGAATATTTCAATATACGAGCCTGAAAAGTCGAGGGCAATGACTCACACAGCAGAACACCGCCGATAAGTTCGAGGGCTGAACCAGCAATGTACCATGGGTAGTAGTACCCAGTACGTCCCATAAAGTGTCCATTGAGTAGGTTGAAGGCCACCAGAAACAAGATGAAAGGTATAAGATGGACAGATGTCTCAACTGCTGAGATTCCGCGGGTGAACTGATAGTACAGCGGCAGGTAGAAGATGCCAATGAAGCTTCCGAAAGTCGCAAGCACTGATAGTCTGGGGTTAGCGATCGCGAAGATTGGGCAAAGAGTGGAGAGCAAGACGTACTCATCGTGAAGAAAAGGCAGATCATGGTTCGGCTCTTCCAGAAATGCATGGGAAACAGACGATTCTCTCGCGATGTGCCAATAAAGTAGACTTGCTGCAAGACGAAGAGAATAGTCAAAACGCCCGCTGCCACAAACAAACCAATACTTTCGCCCTCATTCCAACCCCAGAGAACCCCGCCAAAGTTCATGGCCATGATAACGCAGAGCATGGCGCCGATGGAGAGAACTGTGCCAAGGTAATCAATCTGCGCCAAGCGTTGAATGAGAGGCACGCCAGCTTGGGGTTTGAAGTCGGGAAGTAGGATGATGTAGATGGGTCCCACGACGGCACCAACCAGGAGGTTCAGATAGAAAGCCCAACGCCAAGTTGCTTTGCTCTCGCTGATGGCTCCTCCAACCACAGGACCAAGAACAGTGCCAATACCCCAGATAAATCCAGTGAGACTCAGATATTTGGGGCGTTCGACATTAGTGGTCGTCACTGACAACAGTGTGAGGAGTCCCATGTACATGCCGCAACCACCCGCACCCGCGATTGCACGACCGACAATAAAGGAGTTGATGTCGGGAGCGGCGCCGCAGAGTGCGGAAGCGGCCATGAAGACAGTTGTAGACCCAAGATAAAGCTTCTTAGCCGAGAACGTTCCATATGCCTTTGACCAGGGTAGAGTCGTGGCGGCCGAGGCCAATGCGAAGGAAACTCCGAGCCACGGGACGAGATCGACGCGGTGATATGTTTGGACGACTTTTGCTTGAATATTGGCGACAACAGTGTTGTCTAAGGCGTAGAGGAACAAAGCCGAGAGGAGAGCGCAGATTACAAGAAACCACTGAGAAGCAACTAGTTTAGCTCAGTCCTCGGAGGGCCCAGAGAAAATGGAAAGGGGCTGAGGGTGCTGGGGAGGCCGATGCAACGCACCTTTACACCGCGGATTGTTCGTGGCGGATCAGCGTCTTCAGTGTCATTGAGAGCCTGGCTGTCAACAGGTTCTTCCTTGCGAGACGGCTCGGAGGATGGCGAAGGTGGTGTCGGAACACCTTCATCACTTCGCTCGGCCTCTTTCTTCTCCAAATCGGCCATGTTTGTGAATCCAGATGGAAGCTCTCAAAGATTTTGAAAAAGTTGCTTTGCAACAAAGGTTCAGGGGAGAAAAAAGGAGAATCTTCTGAGATCACCTTCTGGTAGCTTGACCGGATTCCAGATGTGACGTCTAGGTGTCTTCACGGCGGCTTCGTATATGTAACACGAGCAGAGTAAAGTATAGACATCACCTGTCTGTTGACTAGGATGCAGCAAAAACTTTTCAAGCAAACAAAAGCTCCACGGCGATTAGAAATCAGCTTGCCGAATGTGGAAGTGTCACTATTGCGAATCGAGAATACTACCTATGGCGAATCTCTCTTACACGGGTAGTGGGCCTGAACCCCCGGTCCGGGCCGTCGTAAGTAGGATCCGCGATGCGGCTTTGCCGCGGAAGACCCATAGGATTTGCTGCAGTGCTAAACTTTAATATTCCTGCACTGTGTGACAAGTTGATAACGTATGGCTGTTGACAAGGCTAGTGCCTAGATTTGTCGATGAGGTATAAGTCAAGGGTGCTTTGCATCATCGCGCCCTGGAAACGGTTACGTGTTGTAGGAGACCCCCACGAAGGGAGGCTTGGAAAGCTTGTCAAAAGCAGCAATGAATAAGCAACTCATGTGACTTAGACTTCGAGATCATGTCATTACCCCCTTCACTTGGCCATAATAGAATGACAGCTCCGTTGTTGTAAGACTCCGAATTCCAAACAAGTCTCTCTGTTTTGGACCCCAAACTTATTAACACCATTTGTTCTGTCGAGACTTCGGAGTCGAGCCAATCATCATGATCATCACGCGGTCCCAGCCTGCGGCTGACTCGCCATCGACCGTTCGGCTCCATTACCCCCAGGCAGAAGCAGCAACTCAGGTTGTCGACCCTGGCAAAGTTCTCGTGTCTTTCCTCGTCTCTCCGATCAACCCACAAGACTTGTTGGTCATTGCGGGTCGATACCCCGTGAAACCATCTTACACCCACGATGGCGAGCCTATCTTAGGTTACGATGGCGTCGCGCGAGTTGAGGCCGTAGGAGCCGAATCCCCGTCCTCCACGGCCCTGGCCTCAGCGCTACGGCCCGGCGATCTCGTCATCCCGCGCCGCCATGGTCTAGGAACTTGGCGAAGTCAGACTACTCTCAACTCTGTCGATGTGATCCGTCTTTCGCCTACCGAGGATCTCGTTGGCGCATCGCTCCTTCGGATGGCTTTTTTGCCTGCCTACCTTCTCGTCGAGGATGTGAAAGCACTGAAGCCTGGCGACTGGATTGTCCAAAACGTAGGATCCGGGACTATTGCGCGATTGGTGTCTCAATTTGCGCGCATCAAGGGGGTCCATACTATCAGCATCGTACGCGACCGCAGTCCGGACTCTTTAGAAGCCCTGAAGGCCGACCTGCTGAACGAGGGGGCTGTAGCCGTCCTTACCGAGTCTGATCTTCAAGCACGAGGTGCCGATGCGCATCCTGCTCTCGCCGACGCAGCGGGCCGCAACCGCGTGGCGCTAGCCATCGATGGCGTCTTCGGAGATCCTGGAGAGCGACTCGCGTCTTTGCTCTCACATGGAGGGACCTATGTTAACTATGGATCCCTTGGCGGGGCGGATGGGGTTTTGCGTCTTTCGCAGCGCCTCTTGTTCTGGTCTGAAATCAAGTTCCGCAACTTTCGTCTTTCTGAGCAACTCAGTCAGCGGACGCCCGCGCAACTGGAGTCTCTCCTGCTTTGGTTTCAGCATTTACTGGCCCAGGGTGCCCTGGTGACACCCAATGTACTGGCAATCCAAGTCCCGGTGTCGACAGAGGGAAGAAACGACTTCGAGCAGAGCTTCCATGCTGCCGTATCTCTTGGTCCTGGAGAGGGCATAGGAAACTTGAAGCGCGTGCTGGAGTTTACCCATATTAGTTTGTAGAGAAATTGAGTTAGGTGTGCAGATCGATTAAAATAAACTGAAATCAAACATGTTACTGTATCTATACATCGGGGTCAGAAGTGCATCTATGATAACTTTGATTTTATTCTTGACAAGAGTCAGCCCCAAATCAAGTTGACGGCAAAAATAACATCACACCTTGACCCAATTCCATGCAACATACTTTATACACGGGCAGGCGAAAGAGATTCAGTCTACTTGCATAACCCACTTCAATTGCTGATCCTAGTCTCTACATAAAAGTTCAGTCGACATACTGCTTTTCTTTCTCAATGGTCTTGGCATTATACTTGCGCAGCTGATCCTCCAACCCGGGGATCGGCTCATCAAAGTCAATGCGAGCACTGTTCATGAACCTGGCCAAGAAACTATAGATCCCCTGCACGTAGAAGATCTCCGTAATCTCCTCGTTACTGAATGTCTTCTTGGCTTCCACAATGGTCTCCTTATCAACCTTTTCTTCGTGTCCGAGAGTCGTAACAATGCGCCCCAAAAGGCGTTGACGCGCAGTGAAAAGACCCTCTGGCAAATCTTCATCGGCCTTGCGAAGAGCAGTGAACTGTTCCTCGGAGAAGCCGAAAATACGGGCAACGGGCTCGTTCACATCCCATTCATAAGGAGCATTCAAGGTAGCTGCAGTACGTAGAACTATGAGCTGCCAATCAGTGGAGCGTATCTGTCGCTGTTCGCTCCAGGCCGAGGATAGGAGGTTCATGAATGGTTTGAAGAACACATTGCTGTTTGCGAGAAGCTGTTTTCACTAGAGTCAAATTCGAGGTCTTCAAAGTCTCCTCGCCGACTTGGGATCTCTGCGGTGTCTTAATCGTACCTTGAAAACATTTCTCTCAAACGGAAGAGTTTGAAGAGCAGCCTTAATGTCAGGCGGAGCTGTGGTTGAGTCGACGTAGGGCAGCAAGTGCTCGTTCGTGACAGTACGATCATCCCAGGAAGCCATAATTGCAGATAATGATGTCAAAAGCTTGTAAACAGTTGGAGGGCTTGGGATTAATGAGTTGGAAAATTGATTGTTGTAGACCGTGGTGACGAAGAGACTTACAACCATCCGGCCTTTAAACATCGTTGAGACTTGTCTTCCGTCAAGGTTATCAATCCAATGCCATTTTCTTCCCAACTTGCATCATCCTACCAATGGCGCCATGTATTGAGCAGATGATGACCTGCTTCACATTCCGGCCGTTGAACATGGTCATATGTTAGAGTTTGAGTCGAAGCGGTTCTATGATCTGCGGCTCAAGCCTCCGGTTCATCTAATGTGGAGAACGGACAAGGAAGATGGCCAAGAAGAACACAGTTGGGCGAACACTGTGCGCGCGGGGGTTACATTTTTGTCTTGTTGAAGACTCCATGTGATTCAGGAACTGCAACCCTGTTAGCAAGACCATGTTTTTTCTGCATCTTCAACCTATTTGGGGTTTTCATAGTATGATGACCCCTTTCGATTAACATCTTTCCTCATATTACCGGCTACGTCTCTCCGATCGACAAGGTATATCGCATCAACTGTTAGATGGCGTCAGTGAAAATGTACGTACTTCAATAGGGGATATAACGAATAATCTAATAATTCGACCCTATTTCCCTCATATCCGTCTATGAATAATCTCGAAGTAAAGCAGAATTAGAGAAAAACTGGGGACGGATGTAGTGACGCCATCTAACAGTCGTTAGGATAGCAGATTTCCTCATGCACAACATGGGTTAATGTCTTCAAGAGCCATGTTCGTCGCTCCTGCCCCGCTTCCGTCCGGCGCTTTGAATAACATACTAGTCTTGATGCTGAGCTATCTTAATATCCAACGACATTGCTTGGACGGGATAATTCATACTGGTTTTGTGATGGGAGATGACTCGTATGATTGATCCGAGAATCATCTGCGTATTTTCTTCCTCATGTCGCCATCCGTTACAGCTTACGTGGGACGGCTGGAACCAGCGGCTCTCGGGGTTCTTGCCGTTCTTTGCGGCACACACTGACGAGCATCGGTTCGATCGTCGTCAAAAGTTTCCGTTGTATTCGACACCGGCTGGAAGAAGGCATTTTCAAGCAGGCTGTGAAGCCTAGAATGTCTCTTTACAACGTTCCCATGAGCCATTTTCCTACAACCTCCACGCCGAGCGTGACTCTTCATGCAACAGCAAAAGTGACATCACAACAGACAAGTTCGGCTCTATGTTGACATTCTCAGTTTTCAACCCGAGTAAGGATGCGAAAACTGAACCGGCTTTATCGGGAAATGACTGTAACTCTGCAACGACTGACTCAAGTTGGAGTCTCAAGCTGTCTGGATGCTTGGGCATCACCACATGCGTCTTAGAAGGGTTCTTCCGCGCTATCACGCGGTGATGGCTCCTTTGATCTGGGGTGATACGTCTACAAAGTTGCCCGGCTCTAGCCCCGATATCGCTGGTACGAAGTTGTAGACAGGTCACTAGGGCCAGTTTTTGACTCGTAAACGCATCCATGTCGGCGTAGCGCCCGATTTGAGGCATGTTAGTAAAGTTGGCATCGATGTTGAGGACGAGGGCTGGAGGGAGCACGCCATAACTTTACCACGAGGAGTCTGCGATGTGACTCGAGATCGTTCTCACACAGTTGCTAAGCTTTGAGAGGGCTCTCGCCTCTACATTCGCAATCACCTAGGAAACTGACGAGATCGGTTTCCTGGTAGCGGGAAGTCGGGAGATGCGGCCACGCCCGGGATGACCTTGATCAAACTTGCCGCAGATGGTGACATGGGAAGCCCAAAATTGCTTCCGTGCGGGTGTGACTATGGCATGACAGTGATGCAGGCATCTAGAGCTGTAGGCTGATGGAACTCCCATGCTGTTGGTACGGAGAGGTTCCATCGGAGGCAAGAGCAACGGGCTAACGAAAGAGCGACGACCTATTGATTGGAACGCTTCAGACTGTGGCACAAATGCACAAATACTTTGAATTCTCTCGTATCATTGATAAGCTGAATCTCACGCCCATGGTAAAGGAAAACAACATATCAGAGAACCCAATGAACCTTTATGCCTCCAAACTGCAATATTTTTGTATTCCTTTCCTAAGTCTTCCACTCTACTGAACCTCTTGTTATCCACCTACCTTTGACTGCTACGATGCAGTTAATTCGTCATATCGAGAAGCATGAAGACTTCTTCCTCCCCAGCCCTGATGAACTTGCTTTCGGCATTCACGACAAGCTCTTCAGCAAGGAAAGTGCGTTAGCCTTTTCGGAGGTCGAAGTCAGTTTCCCTGCGACAGAGATTCAGCAGGAAATTCTCGATGAAGATGTTCAGTGGGCAGAAGTTGAACTTTTTGCCGGGAAGCCATCTTCCTTCGGTCTCGAAAACATTTTCAACGCTTGGAACTCTCTAGCATCACACCGTAAGTTTTATATCTGTCTTCCTCTCGAAATTCCTTCAATCACTAGCTCATTCCCGACTCCTTCTTCGATCAGATATTTGCCTCAGATCCTACATCACCAAAGATACCGACTCAGGCCAACCGCAGGTCATAGTTCTCCGCCGGGTCGAGGGCATTCGATGGGACCATCCTGACAAGAGTCTCACTGAACACAGTCAGACTCCAGCTTATGTGACTGTTGAGAGTACTCGCCGTCGGGACGGTATCAGCCTGGTACTTCATTTTCATCGTGCTCTGATTGATACAACGTCTTTGCACATGATCAAGCTCGACTACGCTCTTCAAGTACATGGGCTACCCGGCCTTGAGACTGCTGGATTTGCCACATACATCCGATACCTCGACCAAAAAAGACAAAATGCTAGAGCTTCCAAGGCTTTCTGGACTGAAACCCTGGCCGAGGTCGTCCCCCCATCCGTATTCAGTGCTCACGCTGATGAATACACCCAAAGCACCAACAGGGGCAGGCTTGGTGTCAGCGCTGTCATAAGCGGGCCGGAACTAGCGCAACTCAATGATCTCGAAGCTCACCACGGCCTGGGTTCTTGGCGTCAGACATTTTTCGAGGTCGTTTGGGCACATGTGATCAGCACTCACACTGGTTCTAACGATGCCGTCTTCGGTACAGTTCGACGAGACGAAAGCTTCATCGGCTCAGGTACCTGCGTTGGGTGCGTTGATCAGACATACCCCGTCCGCTTCCATATTGAGAGCGACGAGGGCTTAGCTATCAGTGAAGCTTCCAAGGCTCTCGATGTCTACCACTGCCAAGCTGGTCGCCACGCGTTCATCGGACTCGAGGAGATCCAACGTTACGCCCCAACCCTCAGTTCAGTTGAGACTGCTGTCAGTTACAGCCAAACGACGAATACACCATGCATCGCTCCCGGGCTACGAAGGTTCCCTGTCGTTCTATGCATCAGCGATAGCGGGGTATTGAGGCTCACTCTCAAGTGTAAGGCCTATATTCCTCTTGAAGAGATTGAGGTTGTGCTGCAACACTTCGTCTCCGGTATCATCAGTGCTGCGTCCAAGTTGAAGCTTGCAGACGACTGCAAGCTACTAGCATCCGATCTTGTATCGGAAGATGAGCAACGCTCCATCATGTCGCAGTCCCTCTCTACACGCACTGCCGACCAGACGACTATCCCTTATCTGTTTGAGAAGACCGCCGCTGCGTTCCCCGAGAGAACTGCACTTGAGTCTGAAGGCAGGGCACCTGTCACATTTCTCAAGCTCAACAGCCAAGCCAATCTGCTGGCGAGAAGGCTCAAGTTGGAGAAGGGATCGTTCGTGCCCATTCTGGCCGAAAGGTCTTTGGAGCTCGTTGTCGCAGTCTTGGCCGTGCTCAAATCTGGGGCAGCCTACACTATTCTCGATCCCGACACTCCCCTCACCCGCCTCGAGCAGATTATAGATGATCTCAGACCTGCTACTATCCTAGCTAGCCATCGATTCGTCGATGTAGTCCCCAACGCCTCAGACATCGAGCATGTTCTCTCTTCTTCAGGAGATAGTCTAGCTATTCCTTCATCTGATGACTCGACCAACCTTGGTGTGGAGATCCATCCCGAAGACCGTTGCTACGTGATCTACACCTCCGGTAGCACAGGAAAGCCCAAGGGTGCTCTCCTCACACATCGCGCGGCTACAAGCGGCATGGCGCACCAGCCTCTGAACGGGCTTGAACGGTGGCTTCTATTCTACAACCCCAGCTTCAGCGCCGCTCAACGTACAATTTTGGGAACGCTCGTCCATGGAGCGACCTTGATCCTTGCTAGCAAGGAGTCTCTCAACACCGATCTTGCTGGTGTCATCAACAGCTTCTCAGTCGACTCTCTCGGCATCACTCCGTCCGCTCTGTCACTATTGCAGCCCGATGAGGTACCTAGTCTCAAGCAAATTACCTTGGTGGGTGAGCAGATTTCGCGAGATCTTGTTGAAATCTGGTCAGCACGAAAGGGCCTACGTCTGAGGAACACCTACGGGCTGAGCGAATGCACTCAGCTCAACTTTGGAAAGGAGCTTCAACTGTCACCTGGAGGTACTTTCAACCATCGCTTAGTCGGCTCTCCGGCCGATACTACGAATGCATTTGTTCTAGGCCATGATGATGAACAACTTGCGCCTCTGCTTGTCGCGGGCGAGCTGTGTCTTTCTGGTCCACAGCTCGCTGAAGGCTACCTCAATGAGACAGCGCTCACCGCACGCGCCTTTGTCGACAACCCATTTGGTACCGGCAAGCTTTACCGGACTGGTGACAAAGCCCGTCGACTTGCGGATGGTCAGATTGAGATCTTGGGACGGGCGGACATGCAAGTCAAGATCAATGGCCAGAAGGTTGAGCCCGCAGAGATTGACCGGCTATTGCGCTCCGTTGATGCCATCGCCACATCTGTCACTCTGGGCATCAGTTTGAACGATCGCAGAGCACTGGCTTCAGCCATTGTCCTTGCAGACAACTCCATCTTCAGAACTCCAGTGATCTCTGCTAGAGAGCTCTTACATCAGAGGTTGCCTGCCTACATGGTGCCCAGCATCTGGTTTCCTGTCAAGGAGATCCCCAAGAATGCCAATGGGAAGATCAACTACGCTTTCCTACGGAGCTCTGCTGAGGCCCTAGGAGTTTCTGGGTTTACTAAGCTCATGACAATTGGTGACGACAGCGATGTCGTTGATGCTGTCAACAAGTCAGAAGTCGTCATCGCATCAGCTTGGTCAAGCATTCTGAAGATTGACCGATCAATTATAAGAAGATCGCACTCATTCATGGACCTAGGCGGATCATCGATTGAAGCTATCAAGGTTGTCTCTGAGCTGCGCAAAGCTGGATTGTCTGTCGAGCTGAGTGAGCTTCTCGAGGAAACATCCCTTAGAACGATGGCAGCCCAGTCACAGGCATTCAATGCCGAGTCCCAGGAAGCGCCCGAACCTTTCGCACTTATTGCCGATTCTAGTCTTGTTTCTGACTTACAACGTGACGTTAACATCGTTGACGCTTATCCTGCAACGCCATTTCAGGAGACTATGTTGTCAACTTTGAACACGCCATCCGACCCTTACACCTACTCACGGAGTTGGAATGTTGCTGCGGTCGACCTTGAAAAGCTGAGAGCGAGTTTTGACCAAGTATTTCGTTCACGGGACATCCTTCGGGCGGTCTTCCTTCCACATAAACGATCTTTCCTGCAGACTATTCGCCATGGTCTCCCACTTCCCTGGTACGAGTATTCGGAACCACTAGAGTCCTTCAGTTCGAAGCAAAAGCCTTACCAGTGGGAACTAGACGCCCCCCTATGGAACGCCACAGTTCTTGCTGGTCACGTCCTGGTGGTTTCAATGCATCACTCGCTCTTCGATTACTGGTCTCACAAGTTTTTTTACGAAGATGTGGCATCAGTCTACTTAGGCAAGTCCGTCACAGATCGGCCAGCCTATAGCAACTTTGTCAGACATCTGCAATCCCAAGACAGCGCCGCCAGTCAAAGATTCTGGTCTGAATATCTTGAGGGGGCGCAGACCACGAAGTTGAATCACTCCCCAGGCGAGAAAACCAGCAAGATTGAACTTGAACTTGGTTTCAGCGTCAGCCAGCAAGCTCGACGTCTCGGTTCTACACTTGGCGCAGTCATTTATAGTGCCTGGTCCATTCTGCTTTCCCATCACTTAAGAAGTGACGATGTCACATTTGCAACCACTATCTCTGGAAGAGAGGTTACCGTGGCCGACATAAATGAGATCGACGGTCCCACCATGACCACGGTGCCCCAACGCATCCGAGTAGATCCCAACTCCACCATCAGAGACCACTTGAAGGGGACTCTGTCAGGGTTCGCACAGCTCCTCAAACATTCACAACTCGGTGTTGTTGGCGCTTTGCGTGCTGGCAACCTTCCCAGCAAGGCCTTTGACACACTTGTCAACATCCTTGTCAGCCAGGGCGATGAGGGAAGTGATTCTGGGCAGAATGCCGGAGAAGTCTTCCGGGCACATGGTCGTCGACCTCAGTGGGCGTCCGGCTCTGATACTACTGTGCTTGAAGTAGAGGAAGGTCCCGCCGCAACGGCCATCCGTTTGATTAGTACGATGGAACCACGCAGGTTGCGCTTCATCACAGACTCCTTTGTCAACATTGTCAATGTCTTGCTCACTCAACCGGACACGAAGCTTGGGTCGGTGTCAGTTATGGGCCACGAAGAGAGTGATTATGTCTCCAACACGCTCTCCAACCGCACAAATCTTCGACTCCCTGAAGCAGAACTTCTTCACAGCGCATTCGAGAGGATAGCCGCCGCCACGCCGGACGCTACTGCCATCAACTTTGACGGCAATGAGATCGTGTCGTATGCACTACTCGACAGGCTTTCGAATCGATTCGCTCACACTCTCACTGCTCACGGCGTCTCTTCAGGAGACCTTGTGCCTCTCATGCTTGAAAAGTCAGTCGACATGATGGTTGCCATACTGGGCGTCATGAAGGCGGGAGGAGCGTATGTCCCTCTAAGTCCGGACAATCCGAACGAAAGAAATGGCTTTGTGGTTTCCGATACAAGAGCGAAGCTTCTTGTGGCCCACCCACAACATGCTGAGTTTGGAATCTACGTCAAGCAACTCTACGGCATTCAAACGCTGGTCATGCCAAGTCACGAAACGCTGAGCACCGTCACAAGCGATGGATCCGATGCCAACATCGCACCGATAACACGCACGACACCCGACAATCATGCCTACATGATTTATACATCTGGCAGCACTGGCATGCCCAAGGGCGTCATGGTACCTCACCGAGCAGCCGCAGCTGCAGTCACCAGCATGGCACAGGCCGAAGGCCGATTCCAGGGCACCTGGCGGACTTTGCAATTCGCCAACTACGTCTTCGATGCATCTGTGCAAGACTTCTTCAACACACTTAGCACTGGCGGAACACTCTGCATAGCGCCCACCGAAACCTTGCTTTCCGATACTGCTGGATGCATCAACCGCATGGATGTGAGGCAAGCAATCATCACCCCAACGGTCGCGAAGCTCTTCAGTCCCGAAGATGTGCCAGACTTCGAGACCCTGATCGTTGGGGGTGAGCCTCTGACTCCAGACGTCGTAGATATTTGGAGCCGTCACTGCAAGATCTTGAATGTGTACGGGCCGACGGAGACTTCCATGGTGGTGACGACTAAGAGCATCGAGCCGTCATCGGAAGTCACGGGTCATCGCATTGGAAACATAGGCGCTCCTTTTCCCACTGTCATGGCTTTCATCCTTAGTCCGGATGGCGAGACCCTGGTACCATACGGCGCTGTTGGCGAGCTCTGCATCGGAGGACCACAAGTTACCGACGGGTATATGAACAGGCTGGACTTGACAGAAGCCGCCTACGTCGACAGCAACTCTCTTGGTGCACGCATCTATCGTACAGGAGACCTGGCACGCTGGCTTCCAGGGGGCGAGATCGAATGTCTCGGACGAAAGGATAATCAAGTCAAGATTCATGGCCATCGCATCGAACTTGGAGAGGTCGAAAACTCAATCCGCCGTTCCGGCCTCGTCAAGGATACAGTGGCGCTAGCTGCTACTATCCAAGGCAAGGCTCATCTTATGGCATTCTGCATTTTTGACGAAGCTCTTGCACCCATTGACTCAAGTGGTGTTCAAGATCCGTCAACTTCCCGGGCCTCTTTGGGTGTATTGCGCGAGAATATGCGTTCGCTGGCGACATACATGGTTCCGAAGTTCGTTATTCCAATGAACGCTTTCCCCAAGCTGCCCTCGCGCAAAGTCGACCGCAAGGCCCTGAAAGTGCTGGCCAACGAGCTCGAAAGGGAGCACTTGGCGAAATGCACGCTGGAGACTCCGGGCGAGGACCACCAAGTCATCCCAGTCCAGACACCATCAGAAGAGATCTTGGAGCTTGTCTGGGCTGATATCTTCGGTATTCCCCAGAATGAGATCGGACGTGAGGCGAATTTCTCCACGCTTGGCGGTGATTCTATTTCTGCAATCAGCTTGACAGGTCAGTTGCGACGAGTAGGCTACTCGCTGACGGTGCTTGATATCCTCAAGTCTCCCAAGTTGAAAGACATGGCGTTCATCTTGCGCAAGATAGAAGCACGCGGTCAGGTAATCGAGCGTTCATTTGAGGTCCCTCAATCCGTCAAGGTAGCTGCCCAAGAAACTGGAATTGCATGGGATGCAGATGTCGACCATGGTAAGTTGTCTCTTGCACCATTCCCAGTAAGACTCCCGGCTAACTGTTCCTCAAGTGTATCCATGCCCTCCCGGCCAAGCAGAGTTCCTCAAACAGGGTAGCCGAGAGTCACAGATGTGGGCACTGCAAACTGTGCGGCATATGACGGCGGATGTTGACCCAGATACATGGATTGAAGCGACCAGCCATCTCACGGAGGTCAACGAGATCCTGCGAACGACATGGATCGACACTCCAGAAGCTGGCTGGGTCGGAGTTGTTCTTCGTGGCTCTGAGTTGAACGTTGCCAAGGTGGCCCTGGACTCCGAGGCAGAGTCTTCGAGCTTCATCGAGGAGTTTTGGCAGGCTCGATTTGAGTTTGGTCGTCCATTCATCAAGTACGCTGTCATAGCCCACAGCGACGCGTCTTGGGACCTCATCATCAAGATGGACCACGCCGTATACGACGGCACTTTGCTTCGCGTATTCGATGACCACTTTGGCGCCATTCTTCGGGGCGAAAGCGTGCCACCGCCTGTCGAATTCCGCGACTTCTCTCAGCATGTCTTTGCAGAAGACAAGACGTCTAGCCTTAGTTATTGGAAGGCAAAGATGGATGGGCCAAGGCCTGTCGACCAGCAGCTGCATGGTCGAGATCTCGCTACAGTCTCATCGCCAATGATCACCGCTAGCTTGCGTAGAGAGGTCGTGACAACGAACATTGACCAAGCAGCTTCTCGCCTTGGAGTCACTCCGAGCATCATCTTCCAAGGAGCATTCTCCCTTTGGCTGGCTGCAGCGACCGAAGCCACGGATATCCGCTTTGACTACTTGCTGAGCGGTCGCAACGTAGCGCTACCGGATCCTCAATCCATCAACGGAACGCTGGCCAACTTTCTGCCATTCCGAACGCCCATTCATCCGAAGGAATCGGTGCGTGACTTCCTCGGAAAGCTACAAGACGACTTTTGGGATGTGACCGAGAACGGCCTGGTTGGTCTCGACGATACTTACGGCGTTGCTGGTCTACCTCGCGAGACACATGGCAATCGAATCTTGTTCCTCTCTCAACCATTCGAGCCAGCAGCCAAGGATGACCCCAATGGCCGCTACCGATGGCTCGTCATGGCAAAGTCGAAGGTGCGCATGTACCAGCCATACGCGCTGGTTGTCGAAGTGTCCAAGTCGCTGGGTGATCGTCATTTACTGAAGGTCATGTATGACGACACCATCTTGGATCTGACAGTGGCGGAAAATATTGCGGATGATATAGTTGCTTTGATCGAGGTTCTGGCGGATGCCACCACGGCGGACCTGGTACTCGAAGAGTTGTGACTAGGACCGAGGGCCTTGACGTAGAACGATAGAAACTCTCGCTTGGCGTACAGCAATTGATTCTTTCCCACATTCGATAGCGATTCAATCGAAATCCGGGAGTGATTTTGGCACAAGCTACGTTCTTCAGACATTGCTCGACAAACCGTGAAAGAGACGGTGTGTGGTCATGATTGAAGCCTTGGCGCTCACTTCGGCAATTTCCTCCGGAAATCAAGACATGATATTTCTTGGCAGAAAGAAGCGCCAAGTGGCCAAGACAACGACCAAATTGACTGAAGCTTTGGGGCGTCGGGACCACGGACAGGAGTCCTTTCTTGGCCAACCCTCCACAGCTCCTCCACAATCCACCATCCACATCACGACGCGGGGGACTGACAAGGGAGTAAAATTTCCAACAAAGAGATGGATCACTGGGGGAGATTGAAGCTTTGTGCGGGGGAATCTCGACTAACGACGCAAGAATCCACCCGATTGTTGGCTAGTTTTCTCCGTTGACCACGGTCTAGAAATTCCATCAATCAATTGCTCGCGTAGACCAGACGGCGCAGTCGACCCTAGGAACCGACATGCAGGCAATCTGCACAATCTCCGAATCCACCTCAGCTAAAGCTCGTTGGCTCGCATCTTCCCCAACTTCTCCCCCTCGTCGCGATGGGGTTCGAGGCTGGTCAACCGTCAAAACCCCATGGGCGCACGACTGGGGGAGCCTGGGGCTACTGCGAGGCCGGCGAGAGACCCGGTGCGGCGGTCTGCTGATTACGCGGATGGACTGATGCAGGAGCAACAGGACGCTGAACGGGAGGAGAAACGAGGGCTTGATAGGTGGAATGGGTTGTGTTGTTTCTCCTTCGTGCAGTGCGTCCTGGTTATTTCCAGATGGCTGGGCGAAGGGAGACTAGCTTGATATCGCCCCAACTAGCTGCTTATTCCCCCCCCTGCCATATTACCCCGACTTTGGAGAGATATCGAATATTTTCAGAGCCGAAAAGCTGTTGGTAGCCATGATGATCACTCGGGGTGTAGAGCAATTGGAAAGAAATGTGACTTGGCGATGCAGGTCCATTGCCAAGCGGCACGAGTATATGAAGACGCTCGCGCTCTGGAAGTTGTTCTGGATGGCTGATCACCTCCCCCGAGCAGCCTCCTTACTTGGCACCTCACTTGGCAATCCGACTCAACCTCGTGTGTGTTTCCTTCTCACCACTCAATCCCACACGCAGCCATGAGAGTCTCGTCCATCTTCGCCGTCCTGGCGGCTGCCAGCAGCGCCCTTGCCTACTCGGCCGAGTTGATTCCGGCCGGCGTCCCTCGCAACGTGGACGAGTTCCGCGTGAAGCACCCCTACCAAAAGCGCTCCAGGGGCTGCCGTGACACGTACACTCTACGTGCCTCGGAGAATGACCTGGATGACGTCTCTGACGAGCTTATCGAGGGTCTGAAGCTGGCCAACAACGGTGGTACTTTACACCTTCCCGCCAACCAGACATTCATCATTGGCAAGCCGCTCGATCTGACATGGCTCAATGATGTCCATGTCCACTGGGAGGGTGAGATTAAGTTCACCAACGACACCCCGTACTGGCAAGCCAATGCCTTCCACCACCCGTTCCAGAACTCCATCATGTTCTGGAAGTGGGGAGGAAAGGACGTCAAGCTGTACGGCCAGGGTGTTCTGAACGGTAACGGTCAAAGATGGTGGAACGAGTTTGCTGGTCTTGAGTAAGCTGTCTACAGATCCCTGACTTACTATAAGCTTATTGTTAACAAACTTTCAGGATTCTGGACCCCACAAACGCCTACCTCCGTCCCATCCTGTTCTATGCCGAGAACGCGACTGGACTATCCATTGAGGGAATCCACTTCAAGGACTCTCCTTGCTGGACTACCTTCATTGTGACTTGTAAGAGACACCATCTCAACTGCTATAGAACGACCAACACTAACACGACATCCAGCCAAGGACATCTCCTTCACGGACGTCATTGTCACCGCCGAGACCAACAACCACACCGCCGAACCCAAGAACACCGACTTCTTCGACTCTCTGAACGTCGAAGATGTCCGCGTCAAGCGCGCCTGGGTGAACATTGGGGACGACTGCTTCTCCCCCAAGTCCAACGCCACCAACATCCACGTCGACACCATGTACTGCAACGGCACCCACGGACAGTCCATCGGATCCCTGGGCCAGTACGCCGGCGAGAAGAGCTTCGTCCAAGACGTCGTCATCGAGAACGTCTGGATGCTCAACGGTCAGCACGGTGCCCGTCTCAAGACCTGGGCCGGCCCTAACATTGGCTACGGCTACATCGACAACGTCACCTTCCGCAACTTCTGGCAGGCGAACAACGAGTACACGGCCTTCATCGACTCGTGCTACTTCAACATCAATGCCACCACCTGCGCTGCGTACCCCTCCCAGATGAACATCAGCAACATCCTGTTCGAGAACTTCTCTGGATACTCGAGCGGAAAATACGGCCGTGCTGTCGCCAAGCTCACTTGCTCGACCAACCCCAACGCCGTCTGCGACAACATCCAGTTCAAGAACTTCAACATCACCACCCCTTGCGGTGGCGACCCCGTCATTCTGTGCGACGGTATCAAGGGAGACATTGGTACCCCCTGCATTTCCGCCACCAGTGATGAGGGCAAGGCTGCTCTGGCGGCCAAGTGCACAACGGCTCTGGCTGTGGCTACACCGTGGGAGGTCAGACCCTTTAAGGGCTGAATTAGTAATCGGGTTACACTCTTCTCTGAGTAGAGCTAGATATCACGGGTCCAGATGATGACCAAGTCGTACAGTTACGGCGTAGATTCTTGTACAAAATTAAACTTTGCATAACTATACAATTTTGACAACCCAATAAGTTGAAGTCCAGTATGTTCTTCCGTGATGCAAGTATGTAGTCCCCTTTTAAAAAAACGCAGCAACGCCAACAAATCCAGCGGCAACGGCAACGGCAGCAATCATGCCGGTCTGACGGGGTCCGACGTTGACGGCAATCTGTGTGGGACTGTTGCGGCCGCCTGTCACGCTGACACCGGCACCCGTGCCAGCGGCAGCTCCAGTCTTTGTCTCGCCGGTAGCAGAAGGGTAGTCGCCGCCAGCAGCAGTTGTCTTTGGTGCCGAAGAGCCAGATGCCGTAGCACCACCAACTGGTTCCGCCGTGCAGAGCGGGATCTCGGTCTCAAAGTCGGAGAGAGTGGAGCAAACAGACACCGCCGACGCGATTGAGGCCGAGTTGGCGTCGACCCAGCCGAGGAGTTCAGAGGTATAGCTGGAGTAGTCGGCGCTCAGTTCCGTAGGGACCGTGATGCTGCAAGGGTCGGTTTGTGGAGGAGCAGTCATCTCGTAGGAGAGGATCTTGGGAGGAGGAGTTGGTGCGTTGGCGTAGACTGTGCTAAGGGCGTTGAGGCATGGGTCGGCGGCGAGCTCAGTCTGACTGGGAACAACATCGCGACGGATGCGGTCCGGTCTAACGTCGAAGACGGCAGTCGCAGAGCCGGCCAGGGCGGCGATCAGGGCGGCGATCAGGGCAGTCTTGGCGTACATATTGAGAGAAGTGATTGTGAGACCTGGTAAAGACTGTTGGTTGAGATATACAAATGAGTGTCAATGGATAGGTTGTTGAAAGAGTGGACTGTAGTCGATGGGGGATATGGAATGGCCGGGAGTGCGGCATTCGTCTCAATTAATACATGAACAAACGAGGACGGATCTCATTCTCATGCCCCTGATCACCATGGTGTAGCTTAATCTCAAGCATGAAAATAAGGATTCCTGGCTTCGATCCGCCGCCGCCGTTCACGACCGTGCTCTACCTAGTGCGCACAAACGTCTGCAAAGATCAATCACGAGGCAGACAGGCTTCATGAGAAGTGGACTGGGTGCTGTCAGAGCGGCACCCCGATGACTGACGGCGTCATCCTGGCTCTTGAGAGGATATTAGCCATGGCTTATGAAGTGGCAACAAGCCCTTCAGCTAACCCAAAATACTTGAGGAGGATGACTTGCGGCTTCTTCGAAGAAAGGTTCGGCTGGGGAACACTTATTCCAAAAGGCTTTAGTTTTGTTTCGGTGTAAGGGACTAAGATGGCTGAATCAGGGGAAATGGCAAAGCTAGTCTTCTAAGGTAGCTAGAGCATGTTTTGCCTCGAGCTATTTTAGGTCGTTACACACTCCTCAAGAAGTCTAGATGGTTTTTCATAGAAAAGCGATCTGAACCAACCTATTATTTCCAAAAAAAGAAAAAAGGGAGGCTTACTGTCAAATGGGCTTGCCGTTAGTAAGGTAGTCAAGGTAGTCGGAATGCCTCGATCGATGAAGTTCAACACCGACGCAGGACCCGAAAGGCAGTCTGGACCAATCGCAAACTACAGAGTACCCAACGCTTGCGGGTAAGCGAGCTGGAATAAGCATATCATAGTTTATTGATGCAGGTGAATGATCCCTTGCGGAAGTGCGACTCGACTTATCCAGAAGGTTTGATGAATGCACCTGTCTTCATTGACCGAGCAGCTACGTGCCTGTGAGAGTGAGTGACTCAATGGAGCAAAAAGTGTCACGATTCAAGATGAAAGGTTTCAAGCCACCATATTCAAGCATTGTTCCAGCCTTACGCCAACTGTTTCTCGGCAGATCAAGCTTGACTAGAATTCCAACTGCCTGGGAGTCCTCGGGGCATCGTGGCGTAATTTCCAACTCCTTCAACTTTTGCCCTTGCGCCCTTGGGCTAAAGCTGGATGAAGAGTTCTGCATGGCTTTCCGAGTTGTTGAGTCACATAGGATGTAATAGAATTGAATTCCTAGAATGCTAAGATCTCGTCTTATCTATTGGAGTATGGTTTCTCTTCTCCGAACGACCATTGTTGCCCAACCACGACGTCGTAGTGTGCAGCGGTAAGATATCGACTGTGGTATCGCAAGGCAAGCTCACTGCTGAAGTCCAACGACACCGACCTTGAGATAGTGATCGTTGTTCTTGATCTTTTCTCCAATATCGCCGCCCTTGAGCTCCTCAATATCCCACTTGGCCCAAACGAAGCGGCCATGCAAGAAGCGCGCCTCCTCAGATGCGGCCCAGACGGCAAAGTTTCCGGCTAGGTCAACTAAAGGACAGGAATGATTAGCAGGTGCAAGGAAACTTTGTTGATTCCAGATTACACTTACCATGATCAAACGGATAGATATCCTCAGGGATCCCAGCATTCTTGAAAGCCGAGGTATGCACCACGCCCGGGTGGAAGTTGAGAACCTGCATCTTCTCGGGAGGCGTATCCTTGGCAATCATCTGGATCAGCATCGTCCCTGCGTTCTTGCTGGCACTGTAAGCAGGCCAAGGGCCAGATTTGGTATAGTTGTGACTGGCCTCCGTAGACACATTGACGAGGAACTGTAGCCAAAGTGTCAGCTCTGTTGTCTGTCACATGCTACATCGAGAATACATACCTTCTGTCGACCTTCGCCATTCTTTTGCTTGTAGAACCTCTCCGAGAGATCCAAGAGCGAGCGGACGTTCATGGTAAACGAGCTCCAGACCTCGTCTCTCCCAAGAGACAAGATCGGTCCATGTTCCGAAATCTTGGCGGCATTGAGCACAAGGACATCGATAACAGTGCCATCCTCCTCGAAGCCCTTCCAGAGCTTCTCCACGTCTGCGAGGTCATCCACATCGCTCGGGTATCCTTCGAATTGCACCTCGGGAAACTCCTTCTTCAGCTCCGAGACCGCCTCATCGACAAGATTCTGGCGGCGGCCGAGGATGATGATGCGCTTGGCGTGGGCTTGTGCGAAGCCCTTTGCGATGGCGAAGCCGATACCTGCTGAGCCGCCGGTGATGAGGACTGTTCGTCCGGCCTGGGAGAGCTCTGGGCGGGAAGGGAAGATGGCTGGGTACGTCTCCTTGTGTTCCTTTTTGGTGAATGTCATCCCGGTTTCGTAGATAGAGGTGGAAGTCAGTGCTGCGAAAGCGGCGGCGGCAACGTCATTGTCCATGTTGAAAGTAGTGTTCAAGGTGTTTTGGGGATATCTGGGGTAATTGAGGTGTAATTGATCTTGACACGATGTCAAAGATTGAAGAAGCTGGTGATTTGGTTTCGATTTCTGTACATCTTTTCGCAGAATTGTTGCCGTCTTATATCGTTTTCCACTCCTACTCGTAACACTAATAACGACAGCCATCATACCACTAATTCAACCAGCAAAGACGTGATCAATTGCTCAACGTTGCTATCAACCACAGCGTTTGTCATCATGTAAGCCATCAAAGGCTGTATCGTGATAAGATCCGTTCAAATCCGACATGCCAAATCGCAGCGGCCGAGAAACCCGCAAAACACCTGCACAGAGTTCCCGCTAGTTTCCCGCAAGTCTTCCGCCGAAAACCCGCAAACCCGCAAACCCCGCAAAATCCGCAAAACCCACACCGGCGCTGCGTGTGGCCCCACTCCGTATCTCCTTACGGGCGTCCCGAGCCCGCGCCTTGATTCATAGCGCTGACAAATGCCGTCATCCTCTCAACTCAAAGGATCTCCTGCCTAGTTTTTGCTTCAGCAGTCCAAGTCTCAGATGAGTTACGAACTCCGGCTGATGACAAACACGACTCAATTCAACGAAATTCACAACTTGATAGCTGAGTACCTCATGTGGTGTGAGGTAACTCGAACGAAGCCAAAGCAACTGTCTACCATTCTTCATCCCCTCTATTACTAAGGAGGAATCAAGTAATGAGAAATGAGTCGCCTCTCCAAGCAAAAAGCATGCATAGCATGCACGGAATCAAAACGCCGCTGCGATAAAGGCCTCCCATCATGTTCCCGCTGCGACGACCGCGACGTGGACTGCCAATACCCCGTCACAAAGCGACGCCGGCAGCCCGAGACCTCCAGGCTGCTGCCGTTCGCCGACCCACCACCACCGGCACCGGCACCGCTCCAGCAGCAGCAGCAGCAACAGCAGTCCATGTCGACAACAATACCAGACACACTCCTCTTCGACGCATCCCCTCTAACAACAAACATTTGGAGCATGCCCTGGGCAGACCTAGACTTTACCACCCCAAACTTCCACCTCTCACCATCAACAGCCTTCTCCCTCCCGCCCCCAAAACCCGCAACAATCCCGCAGCAGCAGCATCATGAACCTCACATCGCCAAACCAGACTACCCCCGCCTCACATCCTCCGTAGCAACCTCCCTAGCAGGAAGCCAATGGTTCCTCGCCCCCCCAACCTGGAGGATAGACCACTGGCCCGCGCCCCCACGCGACGCCTACCCCGTCTCCGTGCTCACAAACTTCACCCGCGGCCTGCAGGCCTGGGTCCGGCGGTGGGTGATGGAGGGACATAACCCGTTTATCCACCGCAGCCTCTACGCCGAGGGGAATTACTTCCCCTCGTGCGTCCAGGACGCCTTTGCCGCGGCGTCGGTGTACTTCCACAAGACGTCTCTCAACGAAGCATTCGTCCATCGTATCTTGGATGAACGAGTCACGGCGCTGCTGGCGAGTCAGCCTGCGGTGGAAGGTGACTCAATGCTAGAAACGAGGGATCATCTAGCGCGCGTTCACGCCCTCTACGTCTACACCATCATCCGCCTCTTCGACGGCTCGGTGGGCCAACGCGCCGCAGCCGAAGAACACCTACCGACCCTAGACATCTGGGCAAAACAACTATGGCAATCCGCCCAGAATGACGCCGAAACCCTATACAGGCACCAGTGTCCCCCCTCAACATGGCAGTGCCAGGCACAAAGGGACACTGACCTCGCAGAGCAAATCACAGCAAACACCAGCGCCGCCAACGCTGTCAGACCAGGAAGAAACAAGAAACCCCAACACCCAAAGGAAGAACATTTCAAACGCGACCTCTGGACCTGGAACCTCTGGGTCCTCTCCGAATCCGTCCGTCGCACATGGATCATCGTCGTCTGCACACTGGGCGTCTATAACGCCCTCAAGGGGAAATGGGGCGAGTGCTCCGGCGGAGCGCTCTTCACCGCCCGCGCGGGACTCTGGGACGCGCCCTCAGCCCCGCGCTGGGCCGCGCTGTGCCGGGAGACGTCTGGGAAGGGCAGCAGGACCGGGCGAGATACAGGTGGTGGCGGTACTGCTACTACCCGTTCGGGAGCGGAGTGCGGCGACGACGACGGTGACAATGGCTGCGGTGACCGGAATCTCTTTGTGCCTTCGCTTGATAGCGACGGTTTGCTTCATAATGCGGCTGCAGCTGATGTTGATGAGTTTGCGAGGCACTTGTTCACGTGTATCTGGGGCCTTGACCGGGTTGAAGACTGGGCGTTGAGGACAGCTTCAGAAGGCAAGGTGAACTTGGTTTATTGAGATTCAACATGATGAGCTCGAAGTGGGTATGGCATAGAAATCTCCAAGACTCACCTGTCATGTATGTTGTCGATAGAAAGCCATGGACAACGAGAAAGAGGTCCGAGTTTGATACCAAGAGCGGCATGCGCAAGAATATGAAACTCACCATCCCCATCAGCGGCAGCGAGAGAATTTCCAAACGCCTCGAGTCACGGCTACTGGAACCTCATAGCTTCAGAGACTTCATGTTAGAATATACTTTTACATACGGATCTAGAAGCGAGACCGTAACGTCATGACACAAAAAACATCTTCCATTTATTTGCAAGGCATGATCATTACCGTCAACGCCCGTCGAGGCAGGGCCATTCGACATCTAGGCCTTTTGCGATCCCCGCACCGTCCCTAATCAAATTGCGTTTTGAGCCTCCGAGCACACGGCTACCTACTCCTCATCCTCTTCCGCCTCGGCCATCTCCTCGTCGGCCTCTTCGTCGGCCTCTTCTGCCTCCTCTTCCTCCTCCTCGGCCTCCTCAGTCGCGTCGGTTCCGTTTACCTTGGTGACCTCGGCAACTTGGGGCGCGGCGCCACCCTGCTTCTCGAGTTGGAGCCACTCGTCCCACTCGGGGAAGAGGTCTTCGTCTTCTACCGGCGCACCCACCATCTTGGCGACGCGGCCCTTTTTGCCCTTCTCGAGGCTTTCCTTCCACTCCTTGACGACACCTGCCGTCAAACTGGGCTTGTATGTTTGCGAGAACAAAACAGCCTCTGCTAACCGTCCAGTCTTGGTAAGGATCTCCACGCAGCCAGCAACGTCACCCAGCAGCCACTTGCAGCTGAATGCAACATTGTGAGCGCCAGCCTCTTGCGCTTGGTCGGAGAGTTTTGAGAGACCAGTGCGGTCGGATGTGGAGGAGTACAGAAGGAGCAGGGAGCCGAGGTCCTTTGCGTGTGTGAAGCACTCTTGTGCCACGGCCACCTGCCATCCGGCAAGGGCAGCGTCTCCGACAGTCTTCCACTTGTGCTCAACATCTGCCTCTCTCGCCAACTCAAGGGCAGTGTCCAACTGACCCAGTCCGAGAGCGAGGTCAAACTTGTGTTCGGGATCGGTGGCAACCTCCAGCGCAAGTTCCTTGTGGCCCTGTCCTTCCAAGAAGCGTGCGATCTTGTTAAGTTGGTCCGCAGGAATCGTGTGCAGCAGCTCTTGCGCAGTCTCCATATCGTCACGAAGAACCAAGGTCTGGTACTCGAGCACGGGCAAGGACAAGGAGAAGGAGGTGACACCGACGTCCTTGTCAGCCAGGTAGATTCTTGAATCACGCTGGATGTATCCCAGGATGTACATGGACTGGTCGAAGTGGGATACCGTGTAAGTCTGGTCGCCCACGAGGTAGTTCAACCGGTTGGTGCTGTTGGTGTAGAGGAAGCAATCTCCAACCCACTCTCCAGTGCGGACACTAGTTTTGCATTAGCAATTGGTTGTCTGAGGCAAGAAAACGCAGCATACCTCTCGTTGATATCCGTGATGACCTCAAAGGCGGCTTCGACGCCATCTTCGTCAATCTGGTTGGTTTGGACACCCTCAACGTAAGCCTCGCGCGAGAAGCGCAAGACGTAGAAGGTATCTTCGCAAGCGAGAGCGACCAATTCGCCGCTATCAGACCAGTATACCTGTTCAAATTAGCAAGTGTACCTGAGGCAGTGCAGCAAGAAACCAACCTCTCTCGGCTCGACCTCAATGCGTCTGACCAGACCACCGGTTTGCCAGTCAAAGAATGAGATACCCCCTTGGCCCTTGACACCGAGAAGGACACCACCAGTCAAGCCTTCGGCCTGGAAACCGACATCAAGGCCGCTCGCCTTCTCGACAAAGTTCTTGTAAACCTTGACGCTGGTTGCTGATTCCCGGATGGCGAAGTCGTTGGTGTTCTCCTTGGACGCCCAGACAAAGTCCAGTGCAGATCCAAAAGCCTTGTTTCGCCAAGCCAGAGCCGTGTAGATGATGTATTCGCCATCTCCGCAGACTGCGACAAATCGACCGTTCGGGTTGTGCACGAGGGTCGAGGGGTACACTTCGCAGGTACCAAGCTCCTTGACGGGAAGGGAAATGGGCTCGTTATCCTTGATAGAGGCATCTGGGCATGTTAGCAAAAGGTCTGAAGGTCTAGAACAGACGCAACATACCTCCACCCTTGATGATGGCAGAGACGACTTCATTGTGGCGGGCCCAGACAAGCTTTCCTGACGCGTCCATTGACACGGCAGGCTCCTCGCGACCCAGCTTCACAACGACGGCACCATCGTCGAATCCAACGGCCACGCCCTGCTTGCCCTTCTGGTAGGAAACACACCACGCGCGCTCAAGGCCGTAGTTGAGGGACTGCTCGAATCGGTATGTGTTGGCGTGCCATATCCTGATGGTGCCGTCTTCGGAACCTGAAATGATAACTGGCAGCTCAGGGTGATAGCACGCGAAGGAGACGTTATTCGTGTGGCCCTCGAGGGTGGCGATGAGAGATTTGGTGGTGTAGTCCCAGACCTTGACGGTGCGATCGTCGGATGTCGTCAGAAGATAGGGTTTGTCCGAGTGAGGGTAGTAGTCGACGTGGTTAACACCCTTGGCCTCGTGGGCCTCGAGAGTGAAGTTGGGTGTCGCGGAGCCGAGACTCCAGATCTTGACAGTGCGGTCAAGGGATGCGGAAGCGAAGGTGTTGGTGTCCTTGGGGTTGATGGCGAGACCCATAACATAGTGGCCGTGGCCTTCGAAGACCTGGACGCACTTCCAACCCTTCTCCCAGTCCCAGAGCTTAATCGTCATGTCATCGGAGGCGGTCAACACGAAAGGTTGTGTAGGGTGGATGGCGATGGCGCGAATGTAATCGGGATGGGCCTCGAACGAGGTGATCTTCTCTGAGGTGTTGTAGTTGTATACACGGATCTGGAAGTCATCGGAACCGCAGACAATCCAGTTCTTTCTTGCGACGAATCGGCCGGCTCGGACAGGAACATCGGTGAGCTCGAAGGTCTTGACGATCTGCTGAGTCTCGTACGACCAGATGTAGACATGACCGCTGTACAAAGTCGTAAGGATCCATGGCTCTTGAGGGTGGAAGTCGATGCCCTTCACCCGCTCGCTGCGGGCGAACAATTGTCGCTGGAAGAACAAGTCAGCTACCAATCCAGAGCTATTCAGGGGACGACAGGCTGGCGAAAGCTATGCAGCTGCAGCTCTGGCTGTCCCAATAGCTCTTGCTCAAGTAATGCGCAAAGCGGGGGAGTCTCATTCGCTCAGGTTCGTACCTTTACGTCGACCTTCATGTTGACGACCTATGCGCGTATACCGGCAAGGGAGAGTGTTGAAGGAAAGGTGATGGTGTCCTCGAGAAACGAAGTGGGGGGAGAGTGGTTCTTGCGCTGGTAAGTACGCCTAGGGGGGAATCATGCGTGGCTGTCCGGCTAATTCGAGAAAATGAGAGAGGATTAGGAGAGGCCGCTGGAAGCCGGTCGCGGAGGAAAGAGTCGGAGAGCCTCGTCAGCTTGTGTCGTGGGAATTGATGGCTTCCAGAGCTTTGACAGGCGCAATTTTGTCCAAGTCGGTATTTCGAGCTTCAACAGATGTGTCCCTACCGCACCAGGTCCAGGAGCTGATTGGTGCCTGAATGATGTGGCTTTTGCCTAAGGCACAGACATTTGAGCCACGTAGGTAAACTGCCCGTCAATTGAGTCGTTTATCTTATCTGATAGAAAGCCACACCAATCCATCACCTTAGCCACACTTGTTATCTCGAGGGTCCAGACATCAGCCACACCAATCTGGACAGGTCGGTGTAAGCCCTCGATGAGGATGTGGACAACAGCTTTCCGTCATTGAATCTGAGGGCGATTTAAAGATCACAATCGTCATTCAATTTATGATCATTACTACTTTAAATGTGACGAATATGTTGGCGCGCGTATAAATTATGTAGGGTAGACAAGGGCATTCAAGTAGAACGCATCAGGACTGCCTGCTTACATCTGCCATAATGTCTCCTCAGAACGTTATTTGTCACGATTCACATATGAGTAAAGATGAATGATTATATGTTTGAAAATCTTGACTGGATTTGTAAACTTAGATAATCCTAGGCCTACCCATTGGGTTGGCACTGCTCAGAAGGAGCGCTGAAATGCGCGCTGACTAAATATCCTCAAACTCCATGCTTGTCCCAGTGATATATGCTAGACTCCAAAAATTCATGCCCATCAATCGTTACACTCGTCAAAGCTTGCCGGTGAGTCATTCCTCACTGTCAGCCTGAACCTTGCGGACGACGGCGGCAAGCATGGGGTGGATCTTCTCAGAAGATTGGATGCCGCAGATCTTGGTGACAGCGTCCTCAGGAGAGTTCTCAGACATGAGCTTGGAAAGCTCCTTGCTCTCATCGTCGCCCTCAACATCCTGGAAGCGGAAAGCCATCTCTGCTGCACGGAGCAGCGCGGTGCAGTCCTCACCCTTCTCGGCGAGTTCTGCCGCGGGGCCGACGAAACGCTCCTTGCGGCTAAGCTTACGGAGCGGCGCCCGACCGACACGCTCAACAGCATCCTCCAAATGGGGGTTACCGATGCGGCGGACGATCTTGGCGGCGTATTCGCGCTGAGCCTTCTCGTCGATGCCGTGCTTGCTAATAATCAAGTTGCTCGTCTCCTCAAGGGCCTTGCGGACCTCAGCCATAACAGCCTTATCCTGCAGCGCGTCGTAGACGGTGCGCTTACCGCGGTTGTAGCCGTGGTAGGCAGCAGTGGCGTGACCAGTGTTGACGGTGTAAAGCTTGCGCTCGATGAAAGGCGCGAGCTCATCGACCCAGTTAATACCCTCAATGCTGGGGATCTCCTCGAAGGGCGTGCGCTCGACGACCCACTCGTAGAACTTTTCGAGAGTGACGTCGAGGCCAGCGTTGGGGTCTTGAGCAGGAACAATGCGGTCGATAGCAGAGTTGGCGTAGCGGGCACGCTCGTGGTGGTCTTCCAGGCGGTGGGCGGCAGTGTTGCGAGGGTCCTTGATGTGCTCAGCAAGGGTGTCGGTGGCACCAATAGCATTCTCGCAGGCAATGACAGAGATGGGTGCCAGTTCGCTGGGACGCTTGTCGATACCCTTGGCGATGACAGGGGCGATAAACTTGAGAATGTTCGGGCCGACGGAACACGTGACAACATCAGCGGTGGCAATCTCCTCGACAAGCTCGGCCTCGTGTGTTCTCGAGTTGATGGCGCGGTAATTTGTGATGGTGTTCTCGTTAGTACCCTCAGCGCCGACTTCGATCACCCGGTATGATGGGGTCTCGTTCAGCTTGTCAATGAGGGCATCGGCGACGTCGGCGAAGACTACCTCATAGCCGGAGTTGTGGAGAAAGCAGGCGACGAAACCACGGCCGATGTTGCCGGCGCCGAAGTGGACGGCCTTCTTGGTGAATTGTTGTGTTGACATGTTGGGCGTGTGTGTAGAGTGTGGGTGTTGGAAGAGTGGGGGTTTTTGGAGATAGTTTGGATAGAGTAAAAGGCGAATGTTTACAGCCTCGAAATGTTTTAATTTGTCAAGATCGCTCAAAGATCGAGTGATGTGAAAGAGATATTGTGTGGAATGATGAGAAAAGAAGCTGTAGTCAAAGGGGGGAACAGGTTGTCTTTATAATCTGAGAGTGTCGCCTTCACAAGAAGGACCACGACGATGTAATGGACTGCGAGTGTGTCTGGGAAGGGCACGTGTGAAAGGCTCATTTACAGTGGGGGCATCGGCTGGAAGGGGAAAGCATGAAGGAGTGGAGGGGGACCCATGCAGTACGTCGTCGGTGGTCGTCCATGACGGGACGTAAGGAAACTTAGGAAAGGTCAGGTATTTCTGGGTGGTCCATCGCACATAAAGGTACATCGGGGGCCGGGAGGGTAAGGTAGATACGTATCGTCCATGTACTCATTTTCCCGCGCTGAGATCATCGCGTACCCGGAGTACCAGGTACTTCTGGCCGGGCTCCCACCAAGAGACTGGGAGAAGTCTGTGCAATGACTGCCCCAGAGCAATGACATAACGCCGCATCCCCCTTCAACCCAAGCCATGCCATCATCCCCAGTATTTCCTGGCCTTGCGGCGAATAGACAAGCCAGCTTTTTTGCGTCCACCCCGTCACCTTGTCCGCAAGGCTCCGCTTCATTGAAACAAAGTCGGCGCCGCCTTACTTGGTAGCTCTTTGGCTACGGCCCTTTGAGCCAACGAACACGCAGTATTTCGTCAAAGAGTATAGCCTACTGTCTCCACTGAGGGGTGATTGAAGAGGGGGGGTGTCGTCAGAGAAAAACACCATGGAGAAAGTGACAATGGGCGCAGTCCAAAGTGATGCAACTGCTGAGAGGGGAGGGGACCATGGAGGGGTCACAGACTCGTAGCCCCTCCGCCAGCCTGGGTTGGACTTGGAATGGATGCTGAATGTGGATGAATGGGGGATAGGCTCTGAGGCACAGGGAAATCAAGGGGAGAAAGGATGGCCATGGTTTGCATCGCTCGCCAATCATCATGAGTCCTTTGTCGGCGGCTGCCTTTATCCCTCTGCTATTGTTCGGATAATACCTGTTGGTTTGCACTGTTGCAGACACACACGGCAGAGACATTTTGGTGTCAGCCACGTCGGCCAGATGACTGTGTTCACATCGCATGTGAGAAATGATCTTCTACACAGCGCATGCCTGTGTCCTTGAATGCTTCTCTGCTACCTTCGCTTCTGGGTGGTGGGAAGTTTACGACTCCTATGCCCGTCAGACAATAATGGAATAGGACATAGCTCCACTGAATCTCAAAAGGACGGCAGAGTGATAGGTAATGGCAGCCCGGAGAGGCGAGTAAGGCCCGAAAGGGTCACCCGTGTTCAATCATGAGCATAACATATGCTGGGAGGTTCAAGAGACAGGTGTGCCTAGGCCTGTGTGTGATTCCGAGTGTGGGTGCAGGAATCACACCCATTGAGGCCTTTTAGTGTCCTAGTGTTCTGATGCCTTAGCATTCGTGGTATCGCTTCGAAATAGACCAGCCGAGGCGTGGATGCTGGTTTCTCTTGAATACTGCTGCTGCCTGTCCACGAGAATACCGTACGCCCGCTGTATGGAAACCACAGAACCCTCCATCTCTTGCCGGTGGTCCTTGGGAAGGGTTGGTTGAGGTGGTGGTGGATGGACGGGTATTAGGTGGACAAATGGATGGATTTCCGTACCGGTTCCGTCCGGTCTGGAATCGCAGGGCAGGGACCTTGAATTAACAACAACATGGCAGTCGACTCGGGACATGTGGCTAACCGCGGCGAAGATCAAATGCTATGAAGACAACTGGTGTTGCTATTGCCAATGCCCATGGCATCGAATCTTGCGCGTAGACTTTGCCGATGCGGCAGGTGTATTAAGGAGTGCACAACTGTGTTCAGCAGAAAGGGTCCGAAAGGGTTACCACGGAGGGGTACGGAGTAGTGTCGAGGAGAGGCATTTCTTCTCTTATCGTAGCAGCTCGGATCGCAAATCGCCATCGTGGATCAGCAACTCGTTACCGACAAGTCGCACTATAATGTGCCAGGGGCTGGTGCCTCCGTGGCCTGTTCCTGAATCTCGCTGCGCCGCCTCACGATGAATGGTCGAACTGTGAACGGCCCGCCGAGGGGGCCGAGGAACCGTGGAAATTGGAGAATGCGCAGGTCCTAATCGTACGAATTACAAGTAGTATGTTAGAGTGCATTCGTGGGATTCGTGGCAGATGAAAGGGCCAGCCTGCCACTCGGCGCAAGTAAGTTGGCTCAGCGCTATGCAATGCCACGTCCGATAATTAACCGGAGACTCGTCACAGAGTTAGATGAAGGCGGCATTGCTTCGATCGTGAGAGTTTGATATGGATCAGTGGTCGAATCAGAAGACGGCATCCGGGGCCCATCCTCGGTGGGTTTGATGACCTACGGTCCACGAATACGGTCTGCGGCCTGCCCCTCCTTCTGTCCCTCTGGCGTGCCCTTGGCTGACCCTGCGGCTTAGAATGTGCTGGCGAACCCAGACTTAGCCATGAAACGGGACGGATTACCGTGGAATCTCGAGAGCCTTGAGGGATAAATTACGGCGGCGGCTGTTGTCAGGCCTGTCCGCCTAGGTCGACCCTTGCCTGGGATGTAGGCCACAAACGCGGGACTGCAATTCGTGGAGCTGTTGATATGGCGCCACTTTGGGGTTGGTCGTCGCCGCGCCCAGGCGATAGGGGTCCGCAATTTCTCGCTTTGTTGACGCCGACGGTGACCAAGAGGGCCAAGTGCAGCGGAGATTCGGAGAGATGGTGAGCGTGTTTGTCGTGTACTTTGTACGGTGGCGGCAACCTTCTTGGGTTTGCGAGCCGCAGGGCCAGGTGGATGGACTGCGGCTCATCAGGACCAGTCACTACTGGAGAATCCGAGAGCGATAAGACGACAAGAAGTGGAAATTCCGGGCCTCAGGCGTTATTGACATGCTTCGACTGCTTTTGGTCCGAAGATATGGGGCTTCGCCGGCCAATGCGGTCCGCTTCGTGAAGGTAGCCCCGTGGTGACGATTGGTCCAGTTCATAGGGTACCGTGGGCACGAAAGGTGATGGTGCATAACCAGAAGCGGCGATGCTTGGGCGCAAGGTTGGGAGACAGAATGCGGCACGGCGGAGGGACGGAGGCGCTACCTGTTTGTCCTCCCCGTGTCCCCGTGTTCCCCTCGGGCTGTTGGAGCCCTCCACTGTTGCCGATGAACGCCTGCAGGAAGGGTGCAACCTCTTGAGCGAAGCGAAAGTCAAGGCAAGACGTAGACGGGGTATTTGGGAAGTGAGATTCTGCCTGCATTCCCGAACGCGAGCCTCGATTTGTCGACCGTAGTGAGGATGATTCGTCAACGGATGATGGCTGGGCTGCATGGGCTCAGCTTCCATTGCTCCTCGCTTCTGGCTTGCTTTCCTCCCCTGCCCGTATGGTACACTATTCCCTCTGATCCGCTTGTCGTCCTTGGTGATGCCTGGATGAATCACTCCTGATTGATGGGTAGTCGATATGGATAGTCGAGTGGATTAAGCCGAGTTGAGCCCCGATTGTCGAATGTGGTTATGCTCATGCTGTGTCACCAAACTGGAGCATATTGCGTGTGTGGTGTATGCCGTGGAATGACACTTCACGATGATGTCTTGCGGTTGTGGCTGTTTGGGCCTTGGAGTATCCGTTGAGGCGAGAGACATCCGGAATCTGCTAGAACATGTACTTCTCCACGTTCTGGCCAGCAGAAAGTACCTCCACCCGGCCCAGCGTTGTGTTTCTGGTGGGGGTCGCCCCCATCCCCAAAGGAAAACGGCCCTGTCCCAGTGTTCCTTCTCCTCAATGGCGCAACTATGAAGTTACCTACCTCTATGTTCTGGACTCTAAGGTGGGAAAGAACGTCTGACGGACGACATTGGGTCCCGTATGGAGATGGCACTTGCCCACTCGAGTGGAGGAGCAAATCGGCGAATCATCGACAATATCACAGCTGCTCCTTCCTTAGGTTGAGGTTCAAGATTTGAGGTACCTCCTTCTTTCCCTTGTACCTCGAGAAAAGGTACCTGAAGCAAGTACTTGGCTCTTGCCCTGCCACGCCCGCCCTCCATTCCTTGTTCCTGCCCTTTATCCTCTCAAACGGTGGGTCCCCTTATCTATGGAGACGCTTATCCGTCTCGCCCAAGGAAACCACGGCACTTCCGTAACCCGTTTGCGTTCTGCGGTATCTGGCGCAGTCCTGGCCCGAAATCCCCCGCCCGCGCCCGTCTCAGACTGTCGCTCATTCCGTCCCTCCGCCGGCCTGGTGCCCACTCACCCACTGTCACCGACCATGTTCCCCATGTCTTCGGCATCACAAACCGCCAGATACCACTGTTGCGACCCTCGCTCTCGTCCTCTCTCTAGAGATATCACATGAGGCTGATCGTTGTCTCTTCGGCTGACTGTAGAATGCACCCTTTCGTCGCGTTGCAGGGTATGTTCGGCTGAGCAACCACCACATCCGATGCTGTGTACTGAACACACAAGATGCCGGCATTTCTTCCGCAACACATGTGCTCCTGCAACAGGACGCCAGCCCTCTTCTCTGTACTCGCGACACTATGCACACCTGCTTGTCAACGTTGCAGACTTTGGCTTCCCGGCGGGACCAGCCAGAGGAGCACCACACCTTTCGATGCGCTGGTGATACGCTCAACCAACCGAACAACACGGGCCAGGTTGAAGCAGTTTCAACACGGCCCTCCTAGTAAATGAGGCTCGAAGCATGATGTTATCTTCTCGGCAGCATCGAGTACCTACCTAGATTGGCTCTAACGGTCTGTCAGTTGCTACATCTTACAGCGAACCTCCTCATCTCAGGGAGCGTCTGGCGGCGGCGCTCAAATCACCATTCCCACGGCCCAAGCGTTGAGCTTTGGCTGCTAAATAACACCCTCAGATGAAGGCTGGTGCCGTCGTCGTCGTTGTTTCTTGACAGCTGTACGTCGCTTCGGTCCTGCGTGGACTCTACTAACGCAGCATGCTCGGGCTCCAGCTACGGTCCCTAATGCACCACAGTTACGCCAACCCCGACGCGCAGCGGCTGCCACTCTG